CTGCTTTGTGTTCTATTGTTCGATACAAAACATATCATTTCCATTCATGTTCGCATTCCGTCGTCCTTCGTTTTCACCCACACAGCGGAAGAGTCTGAGTTGAGTCGTTGTCCTGAATTATATCATACTGGATGCCGGCGGCAGCAGCAAAGCACAGAGCTATCGGCTATTATCCTAGAGGCATGCGGCGAAGGCACACAGGCTACAAGAGGCTACCGTGGTTCTGTAGAACTTATAGAGGGGTACAGAGACTGCGAAGACTACAGACTGGTGTGGGGTCCCGAGAGAGTTTGTGAAGTATAGGGGTTCCTAAAGGCTACTGGGAAGCTACCTCTGTATTCTAGATCTATAGGGCAGGTATATGCAGACACCGCAGAGACTAAGGGCTCTATTCCAGTCCACTATACAGAGACTACTGAGAAGCTACCTTGGCTCTGTAGTTTTTGAGATGGTGCAGGCATACTACGAGGACTGCAACGACTAAAGACTGCTCTGAAGTCCCGCTGCAGGGTCAGAGCTTTAGCTTGGAGTGTCCTATCTCTATGTGTAGAGACTGAACTCTGCTAGCTGCTGTCCTAAAAACCTGAATTCAGACACTGAATTCCCAACACGATTTCCCTATACCTAAATTCAGACACTGAATTCCCAACACGATATCCCTATACCTAAATTCAGACTCTGAATTCCTAACACGATTTCCCTATACCTAAATTCAGACTCTGAATTCCTAACACGATTTCCCTAGACCTAAATTCAGACACTGAATTTGGGTTTTGTTTTGTTTTTTTTTTAAGGCTAAGGCTCCGCTGGAAACTACAAGCCTGCTACTGGCTGCGACATGCCCTCAGGCAGTTTTTTTTTTACAGCTAAAGCCCTGCTAGAAGCTCAAGACCTGCTTGTGCCTGTGAAATGCCCTCGGGCAGCTGTGCTTTTGCCTTTGCAAAAAAGAAGACTGCATGCAGCAGCTTGGCATGCATGATGCATCTGCACTGCAGATACCAGGCTGGTAGATCCTTTAAGGATTCTTGTAGTAAAGATACTTGTCCCAGCCATACTTCTTGACATTGTCCACGTGCTGTTGCAAGAGCTTGTCGAAGGTGGGGCTGCGACGGAACCTTGGATGGGTTTCTGTTGCTTCCAATATATACAGGAAAAAGCCCATGGGCTGCTGTATATGAAAAGCATGGCACTTTTCCACATAGCTCCACATATATGAGAAGCCCAGGGGGGCCTGCCTATAAAGGGTTGCTACCTTCCTACAAAGCAAAAAGCCGAGAGGCTGAGCTTCCTACACAGCGACAGCACTCCCACAGGGTTGCTGCTATCTACATATCTATATCTGTACCCATATCTATATAGATATATATATATATATACATATATACATATATGATATATACATAATTATACATGAACATATAGCCATATATCCATATCCATATCTACACCTATATCTATAGCATCATGGAAAAGGCAAGGGGAAGCCCGTAAGCTGTTTGTTCGTGAACTGAACCGTCCGCAGGAAAAGCCCCTAGGCTGTTTGTTCGTGAACTGGTTGTGGGTGTGCACATGTGCAACCCAGCATCACTCTCACAAGCCGATCCAGCTCCGCTTTGTCCCTTGCTTCCACGGCTCCGGCCAGAGCGATCGCACGATTCATCCACCTCAGCGGACAATAAGCAACAAGAGCAACAACAACAACAACAACAACAACAACAACCCCGCCACCAGCAACAACAACAACAAGAACAATAAAAACAACAATATAGCACCGCCACACCCACCACCACCACCACCACCACCACCACCACGAGCACGAGCACGAGCACGAGCACGAGCACGAGCACCAGCACCAGCACCAGCACCAGCACCAGCACCAGCACCAGCACCAGCACCATGCACCACCACCAGCCACCATCAGCAGCCACCATCAGCACCACCATGCACCCCCGCCGCCCCCACCGCCAGAAGCACCACCACCACCACCGCCGCCACCATCACCATCACCATCACCACCACTCTATATATATATATATATATATTTATTTATTTGTTTATTTATATATATATATATGTATATATATATATATATATATATAATCATATATATCTATATATACCCCCATGCAGCCCCCACCCCCCAGCAGCACCAACAACAACACCACCACCACCACAAGCACCACCGGCACCAACAACAACACCAGCACCACGACCACCGCCACCAACCAGAACACTGGCAACCAGAGCAACACCAGTAAACCAACAACACAAAAACTAAAACCTAAACCGCACTACCCCAAACACAAGAAAGTATTGTCTAGCCGCCCAGTTCTCTCCTGATTCTGGCTCTCCGAGCCCTTCTCAGGCACAGCTGTTGGCTGCCACTTCCAGCTGTTAGTCTTGTAGTCCCAGACATAATTATCCCAGCTCCTGTCGCCATAGCCCTCCCAGCTGTTGTCCTTGTCCTTTTCGGGACCATCGGTAGAAGAGCCTGGGGCTGCTGGGATAGAAGCATCTGGGTCTGCTGCTGCTGGGCCATCGGTGGGAGCACCTGGATCTGCTGCCGTGGGAGCACCTGGATCTGCTGCCGGCGGGCCATCGGTGGAAGCTCGTGGAGCTGCTTCTGCTGGGACACCTGCAGGAAAAGCACTTTGTGCTGGTGTGCCAGCTATTGAAGCACTTGGTGCTGGTGCAGCGGCTGGAAGTGGAGGCGGCGGCGGGGGCGGCGGATAGTCTCCGAGCCATTGGCCAGGCGGGAGTGTTCTTTGCTGCTTCCGCAAACTAACAATCTCGTCCTCGAGCTTCGGCTTCTTCAGGTCCCCCATCCACGAATACCACTGGTCGCCCGTTCTGAGCTTCAAGTTCACACTCGGCTGCTCATCGTCAGGAGGGCAGTGTACGGTGCCGGACATTTCCGGTGCCATCTGCCCAATGAACTCGGCCACCCCGAAGGAGCAATACACCTCCACATTCTCCCACCATTGAGGTGGCACTGTATCCAGCACAACTCTGTCAGAGCAGTAGAAGGTGCTGTATCTCTTGGAGTACCATATGAATGCATTCTTCGCATTGTCATAGTTCTTCCAGATTCTGCAGCCGCTGGCATGGATATCGCCTGGGTGGTAAAAGCCACGGGCTGCTTCGAAGCATCTGTTCCTGGGCACATATTACCAACAACCCAAAAGCTCCATGTTTAACACGGCTTCTGCTACTATATCCCAACCTATAAATGAAAGCCCGAAGGCTGGTGAAAATCAAAGGCCCAAGTCCAAGCCCGAGCATCTCAGCATCGGTCCAAGTGGACTCTACATACTCCACCAGATCCAGCACCAGGGTTCCGCTGTACCAGAACCAAGGCTTGGCAGCCATCTCCATGAGCTCTCGGTTCAACTGTGCATTCGCATCGATGCAACTCTGCACATACGAGCTCATGGGCATGGGCTCCGCTGCAACATCAGCTGCCACTGCACTGGGAAAAGGAGCAGCGGCACTGGCCTTAGGTGTATGCTGCAGGGCGGTTTCCTCAGCCATGGCTGACATGGCTGGATCGCAAGCTCTATGAGCTGTTATATTTCGGGACATCCAATGCCATCGGCAGCTCGCTCATCCATACTATATAATGAAGACTTCCAGTGCATATGAAATGCAACATGCACCACCACGCAGAGCTACACACAAAGACTTCAAGTCTTGGAAATGCAAGTCCGGCGGCGGCCATGCATGATTGACTGCACATGCACATACAAAAAAACATGAAGTCCAAAGCCCAGTGGGCTGATCCATGCTGCCTGCAAAGAAATATATGAAGTCGAAAGCCCACTGGGCTGATCCATGCAAACTCAAACTTAAAGCCCCGTGGGCTGATCCATGCAAAGTCAAATCAAAAGCCCACTGGGCTTTTTTATTCATGATGCATATGAAATTTTCCTAAAATCTCGCTCAAAGAAACAAACAAGTGCACGGAGCATTTCCCCGACCCCTGCATGCATGCATCGGATCTATGCATGCATCTGCTAGAAAGCAAATTTGCTGCGAGTGGCTATATATACAATCTATGTACAGCTGCTATTTGGAATCGTCCTCGCTCGACAATAGGTTAATATCCTGAATCGGGTTCTGTTGAGATTCCTCATTATCGTCCTCATCGTCAGAGTCACGTTGCAAAGCATGCTTGTTCTTGGCATACTTCCCGGTCTTCCTGTAGGGCCTGGAGGGGTCATCAAAAGCGAGTCGCTTGTGTTTGATCCAGCCAAAGAGCTTGTGCAACGAAGCTTCGTCCATGAGAACTTGAAGGTCGCTAGTCACCTTCTCTGCAGCTCGCACAACTATCGTGCCGAAGTCGTCCGGGAGCTGGATGTCCACCTGCATGACCTCGACATTGTTGTGCACCTGTCGCCTTTTCTTTTTAGGCTGATCTGCGGGTTCGGCATCGCCGCCGAAGAGTTTGTCTTCTTCCGGCACCAAGCCTACCAGCTTGTTTCGTTGTTCAATGACATAAGTCAAACCCTCTGCTCCTTTCAAGGATGGGTTTCTGGAAGCATAAGAGCATCCCAGAAGCAAGCACAGCCCGTAATTGCTGGAGCGGATCTGAAGCCACTTTTGGCCCTTGTCATCCTGGTGAACCAAGCTAGAAGGGACAACCCACTTCTTGCCGGTATCGTCGTATTTGATGACATGCCTCGTGGACATGGACACCGACATGGCAGACTATATATGCCTGTTGCACATTCACAAACCTGCAGGACTCACAGCTGCAGAGAACGATGAATTTGCATGCAACCCACAACATGCAGCGGCATAATGCAGGCAGCACTCAAAAAAAAACATGCTCGGTGCAGCAGAGGATTATGTACTTTTCTCGGACACGGGAGTATAGCCAAGCCGGGTGTGGTTCTCAAGCCAATGGCTTCCAAAAGTTTTAGTTGCCGGCAAGCCGATGGCTTCAAAATGCAACTGGACACAAATAGGCCAAATGCTGTCCATGGGACAGTGTCTAAAACTCAGGCTTTCTTAGGCTTTTTGCTGGGAGGCTCAGACTTCTTGCCAGCAGATTTCTTCTGATTCGCCTTGATGTTCGATGCCTCGGGCTCTCGCTGTTGACCAAGCACCAAGCAGTGATGCCACCATGACTTTTCTCCTCCCAGGTCATGCACGGCTCTTTCACGGGATCCAACCACCAGTATGGCGCAATGCAGCCTGAAACCTTGTTATCCTCGGAGGTCTTGAACATGGCTGGGGGGAGGATGTAGTAATCGGCCTCTTTGTACCTGATCTGTCCCATCTTCTTCTTCTTGTCAGCGGGTGCCTTCGTGGTGATCTTGCTGATGGCATCCGTTGAAGGGAAGAGGCACAACTCGCCGGCAGGGATCTTCTTCAAGGCATAAGCCTTCCGGCTGCTGTTAACCACACCGATCAAGCTCCAAATGTTCTTGGGCTGAAGCTTTGGGCATACTTTCAGCATGGTCAACCACACTTCAGCCATAAGGGCCTCTGTACTGCAACTCGCATGCGGCTCTCTGGAGGCAGCCAATGCCTTGTCGGTGAACACAGGTGCAGGAAGCTTGGAAATTCGCAAGTGTTTCCAACACTGGCTGGTCTCGATGGTCACCTCCTCGCTCTGGAACAAGTCAAGAAGCTCCAGCACGAGCTGGTTGCTGTCTGCTTCTCGAAGCTTCCAGAGCTTGTTCTGGTAGGTGTAGTGCTTCCCGACGGCAATCTCAATCTTCTGTTTGGCCAAGAACAAAGCATCGTATGCTTCTCCCAGCGAAACCAATCCCGCTTGTTGGGCTGCCCCACCCGCAGAGGACGACGAAGATGGCAAAGCAGTCTGCTGTGCAGCAGCTGCAGCAGCAGGAGCTGCAGCGGCCAAGTTGATGTTTCCAAGCTGCACCTCAAAGGCCTCAAAGATCTCGTCCATGCTCTCGAACACTTTCGTCTCCCTGCCCATCTTCTCCTTCTGCAAGACGTGCATGCAGCATCGAATCAAGAGCATGCCAAAAGCCCTGATGGCTGCCAGGTCCGAAAACCTTGCTTCAACCTTCTGGTAAGCCTGAAAGAGCTTCTGGTCCATATCCAAGATCTGCTTCTGCAGTTTGTTGCCCTTCAACTTGTCCCAGTCCGATCGGGTTAAGAGCCGAGCATATCCGTCCTGGATCTTGTTCTTCGGCGCCGTGAAATTGGTTGCGAGCATTGCCAGCCTCAGCAGAGGCACTTCAGCAAACATGTTGCCAGCAGCCATGACCCAAAACTCCTCCCCAACATTGTAGTTGTCCCCGAACTCCTTCGTGAAGATCCCTAGAAACTTGGCGAAGTCGCCTTTGTTGCTGTAGGACCCAAGCCACTTGGCTATGCTGGAAGAGTAGTTCTTCACGGGGCCGGCATGACAAGCTTCAGCTGCCAAAGCCTTGAAGTCAGGCTGCTGCATGCCTGAGGCGAGATCCAGGATGTGCAAGGCCAGTTCCAGCTCGGACTGAGCCTGAAAGGCTGAGTTGCTGGAGTTCAGAGCTCGCTCCGCAAGCTTTGGAAGATCCGGATAGCATTCTTCGACTGCCCAAGAGACGATGACCCAGGACCAGCCGTGCAACATCACCTCCCGGAGGACAGGGTCCTTCCCGCACAGCACCTCCTTGCTCAAGAAACCGTTCGTGGCAAGCGAACCCTCGCTGGTGCGGCAGCCAGCCCAAAGGGCTTTGAGGAACTGTGTCGTATGTCCTGAGCTGACCGAGAGGTATCTCTCCGTGCCGTTCACCGGGGCTAGCAAGCCGGCAGCTTGTTCGACCTGTTTCTGATTGAAGGCGACCTGTCTCGCCCGAAGATCGGGATTCTCAGAAAGCTGGAAGCCTAGGTGCATGGGAACATGCATGCACGGTGACACTCACAGAACTGGTATATAGTTTCCTACACACAAAGTTCTTCAGATCATCTCAGCAGCAACAGCTGGAGTGGAGGTAGGACTTGTCAAAGCCCGCCTTCAAGATGCCGGCTGCTTTCGAATGGCAATTGTGGCCATTCACACCTAAACCGGACCGGTTCAATTGATGAACCAGTAGCATACTGGGCTCCAAGGTAGCTTTCCAGGCAAGGCTTTCCTTCAGAAGCAAGTCGAGAACGGCCTTCCACTGGGTAACCGGGGGCATCTCCTTTGCAAGGATCTCGTCCATCTCTTGTTTCACACATGGAGACACTTGCATGCTTGCAGGACAAAGAAATCCTAAGCACTTCGTGCGAAAGGAAAGCTATATATACAAAGCCGAAGCTTGCGGGCAAGAGCAATTCATGCAATCTGCAACAATCTACGCATGTGCAATCAAAAATCACAAAAGCCAACGGCTGATTGGAATTCCCACTTTCGAAAGCCGAGGGCTTATCATTTCTGCAAACTAAAGCCGGCCGGCTAATCAGAAAGTCTCGTGAGTTACAGCTTGTCATTTGTGCCATCAGAGGAAGCTTTGAGCTGATCAACAAAATCTAGAAGCCCAATGGCTGCTCATTTCTCTGCAGAAAGCCTCTGGGGCTGATCGATAAAGTTCCATGATTCAATTTCAAAACCAAAGATTTCAGCAAAGTGAACTGGCAAAATCCAGTATTTTGTCGACCTCTAACCACTTAGCATCACTTAGCTATGTGGTTGCGAAATATGTGCATAAGTGGTTATATAAAAGGCTAACTGGTTAAGCGGGTTTGCTTAAGCGGTTAGCTAAGTCATTATATGTGCCACCTGAACATGTATAACATTTAATATCTTTTGTAAAAGATAGGATGGATTAATAACCGAATGATAAGTAGCACCAAAAGTTCTTAACCCATGCATGTGGTTATAACATGTTACCACGACATGTAATGATTTACAGTCACATAGAACGACTTGCTACACAACTTGCAGTGCTTTGCTAGAACTTAGCAAGTGCTTATCATATGGATATAGTAGTGTTATCTAGAAGCAAGCCCACGGGCCATCCAAGTGCGGTCCCAGGATCCAAGGTACCCGCCTCCAAGATCGCGTCGATCGAGTCCAGGAGCTCCTGCTTCCTCTGTTCCTTGATCTCAAGGACTAGGAGCTCAAGGTTAAAAATCACGCCCAAGATCACAGGCGCCGCCGAGAGCTGGAGCTTCTTCTCGTCGAAAAGAGCGCCGAGCCAGAAATGGATGCACTCGGCCACGACTTTAGCCGACGGCGCCGTGAGATCGGTCTCGAACCCGTACTTGTCGTCGTAAAAGTTGAAGGCAACCATGCTGAACAGCCGGACGAGAATATCGTTGATCAGGGCCGAGCGGCGATTTTAATTGTAGACCGCCGCCACGAGCCCGAAGGAGTGACCGATCATCACAAAGAACTTGGGAATGCCATCACCCGGATCCTTCAGGCAGATCACACTGAACTTCCTGTGCTCCGGCAAGATAGGAAGCTGCCGATAGGCCTTCCGCTCGTCGAGGACCCATCCTCGCAGCGGGCGATCGCCTCCTCTGGTGCGGAGCTCGCGCAGAACTGCCACGTTAAAGTCCGTGGAGGTGAGCTCCAACTTCTCGGTGATCACCGCGGTCTGGTTGATCAAGTTGGAGGTCGCACTGTCACAGCCTCTGACCTTGTTTTTCTGAACCACTTCGAAGCGTTGTGTCGGGATCCAGTCGGAACAATCCAAGAACTTGGAGACTTCCTCTTCGGATCCGAACGGACCCAGTGTGGAGCCTTCCTTGACGTCCTCGAGCGTGGCATTCCAAAGAGACCTTACATTGTCAGAAACAGGAACCGACCTGCATCTGCGAAAGACCTTGGCTCGCAACTCCCAGGCCCGATCCAGAGCTTCCTGCACAGGCACTGACCGCTGTGGCTTTGTGAACGGCGGCCAGCGTCCCGATCGCTGGATTTCGCCAACGATCGGGAAGCCACTGCGAATGCCCTGGAGAATTTGACGATCCGTGCAGCCGATCGCCGCGAAGAGCTCGTCGTAGAGCGCCACGTGAGTGCAAGAGCCCAGCTGCAGATCAGCATAATCCGGAGCACCACGAAGAAGCCGACGAAGAGGAGCGTCGGCGATCGACCGCAAAATGCGATCGGTCTCTGGAAGCAGCGTGAGCGCACGCTGCTGCCAGAACTGAAGGCGCTCAGAACGGCGAGCCACGAGCGCCTGCGGGGAGGAGACAATGAACTTGATGTTGTCGACGATCTTGTCGGGGAGCGCCGGCTGCACGGTGAAGGGGTGCCGAACCTGAAGAGACCATTGGATTGCTTGACCTGGCTCACACTCAACGTCGAGCAGCGGCTTGGCGGCACCACGTTTGAGCTGATAGCCGCCAGCCGCCGCCAGCCGAGCAGCAGCGGATTGGCGATGTCCTTTCCAAGCAATCTGGGATCCCAAAGATCGCTTGCGTTCTGCTGACGGAGCTGTGAGAGCAAAGGAAGCAGCGAACTGCTGGACCGACTTCTGCACGATCGCGGCCACGGCGATCGCCCACGCGGTGCAAAGCGCCGAGGGGTAGACCTGAGCCGCCTTAGTCTTGAAGATCTTCTGGCCGGTCTCCGACCTCGTGACGCCGCGAAGAGGCACATGAAGATGTCCACCTGAGCACGCGCGTGCAAGAGCAAGAAGAGCAGCATGACTGACCAGAAGCCGAGTAGGCTTCCGGTGAGGCGATCCGTACTCGCACTGATCGAAATCGACGTTGTAGAGGTGAAGACGAACTTTGAGCTGCTGAACTTGGGGGACCTGCCAGATCAGACTATCCTTCGGGTTCTCGATCGAAGCATCCCCACCCGCTTGGACCACAGCCTCGAAAAGAAGAAGACACCGACACAAGAGCTCATTGGCTTCGAAGAGCTGTGCCTGGTGGTGCTTCTTTAGAACGGAGGCCAAGTGGCAGCGCTTGCGAACGCAGGGGCGGAGGTCCTCCAGGCCGATCCCGAGCCACACTGAACGTGGCGCAGGGAACGCCCAAGTGCAGATAGACGATCGCCCCCATACGGCACAGCAAGAGCAGCCAATCAAAGACCTGTGCGTCCAGCAAGTCGATCGCCTCCAGAATGAGCTCGGAGGTGCACTTGTCGATCGGCGGCAAAATCTTAAGACCCGTGACGTTTCCAGGCAGCGGTGAGACCAGCAGACCCGGCAAAGATCTCAAGGCACCAGGGACCGAGCTCACAAATTGTGTCCACCTCCGCCCAAAGATCCCACGACGGCGGCCGACCTGCAGGGGCAGCTGTCAGTCTCTGAGAAGAAACCTCATTAGCAGCCAGAGCCGGCGGCTGCTGCAGCGGGGGGGGAGAGAAATCCCCCGGTGGTCTGTCGAGCACCGGTGCCGGAGGGAGACGACCAAACTCCCCCGGCGGTGGCATGGGAGCTCAGTGATTGCCATGGTAGGGGTGATCACCCCCGCACTGCACGCAGATATGCTTGTTCTTGCATTGATCACCGAACCGACAGCCGAGCGAGCAGTTGAACCATGGGCAGCGGCGAGCGCCAGTGTAAGAGAAGGACATGATCTTCTTCCACTCCTTCTCCGGAACCCGGGTGTCGCGATCAACCTTGTCCTTCTCTGTGAGCTTAGGCACCGAAGGCTTGTTCGGCTTGGCTTGATCACGAGTGCGATCGCGCTCTGCACGAGCTTGCTTGAGCAACTCCTTTTCCTTCTGCCGGCGAGCGCGATTCTTGCGAGTCTTAGCCTCGTTCTTCGGAGGTGTCGGCGGAGGGGACCTCGAGCGAGGCCGCTTCGGAGGAGTAGCGAACTCGTGCTCGACCTGGCGGAATTTTTCAAGTTCAGCTGTGGAGCGAGCGTCATTCCAGAGCTGCTTGTGGTTCTTGAGGACCTCGCAGAGAGCCTGAGAGAACGTAGGGAAGTCCTTGCGCTTGTCGTTGTTGAGCTTGTAGACTTTCTTCCTGATCAAGGAATCAGCCGCAAGAAGAACCGCGAGACCACGATTCTCATGGCGCCACGCCTCAAGTTCCGAGAGGTACTTGAGGGGACCGGAGTCAAAGGTGAACTCGCAGATGTTGAGGTACTCGAGCGCCACAAAGAAAGAGTGGAGGCGATCCATGACCTCTGTCTCCGAGGCGACCGCCACCTTGTTGTCGAGCTGGACCACCTTCAGGAGATCCTCTGAAGTCTTTGAGAAACCAGGTGTTTGCACCATGCGGTCCGAGCGGGAGCGCATTTCAGCGACCTCGTAGAATGCGACCGCCCCATGGACCATATAGTCCCGGTGGATCCTCTCGACGAACTTCCGGTGCGGCTCGCGCATATAGGTGAGGATGATGTCGGGGTGCTGAGTGACAAAGAGCTCGCGAAACTCAGCATGATCTTCTCCAGGAATTTCTGGTATTTTGGATGGATCCTCCTCCATCTTGGCCCGTCGAGAGGCGACGTGTTCTTGCAGAACCGAGGCTGACTTCCAGATCGCGGTCAGGAGCGTGAGCGAGAGCTCCTGTGCCGGACCATCGGCCCCGAACTGGGTGTCGTCTCCAACGATAGCGCGGAGCGTCGCCTTCACCGACGCGATGGAGTCCCCGAGCATGGACATGCGCTCGACGGAGAGCATGCCTTTATCCGCCATGAGAAGGCATAAGTCCTCGGGGAGCTTCTGCCGTCCAAAGATCTGGCGCAAGGCGAGCTCAGGGGTCTTGTCCTTGTTCGGGTAGACCGTGCGGTCGACCATGGCCGATCAACACAAGAGAGCCTCAATCAATACTTGAGCAAGCTTCAAGAGAGTTCCCCAGATGCGAAGAAAGCGCGAGCAGGCACAGCACAGCACAGGATTTTAGACCTTAAAGGCGAGAGCCACGTCTGGCCGAGCCTTAGCGCACAGTTTGCAAAAGAGCTTAGGGTCGGGCAGAACGGACCCGATGTGTGTAAATTCGGGCGTGATCGCGCGTTTGCATGCGATCTCTTCCACAGAATCTGCAGAACACACATGAAAACGATAGTCATAACTAGAGCCTTTGACTGAGACCTTGACAAAGAACTCAGTCAATGAAAGATCCCTGTCCTCTGCGTCCTCGATCGTGTCATCCTCTTGAGCACAGAGGGGCACGAACTCGCGCGAGACCTCCTGTACCAACTCCTTGATCATTTTCGCTGGAAGAGAGGACCTCGAGCGCGTGTACTTCAGAACGAGCGGGCCTGGATTCTTCCAGTTCGCCTGAACCCCGATCTCTTGCTCCGATCGTTCACAATGGACAGCCAGATCAAGCATAGTTACTCGAGCTGAATGCCACGTGAGATCGGTGACTTTGTCCAGGAACTCCCTCGCGACTCCACACTCCTGCCCCGCGAGCCAGACCAGGTGGTGGAGCCACTGGAGAGAGCGAGCGTAATCAGGGGGAGTCTGGCGCCAGCGATCCTTTGTGTCGAGCTCGGGGATCCAGAAGTCGCGTTCCACGAGCGGGAATTGCGAATCGAACAAGTCACTGTGCCGATCTTGAACCAAGCCACTTTAGAAAAAGCAACGTCTGGAACCATGAACTTGGTGCCGCGCCGCTTTCTCTCAGTCTTGGTCTGCCAGGAGATCCCGAACAGACCGTCAGGCTTGACCTCTAGCTCGTGAGGCTTCACGTGGATCGCGTCGTCAAAGCGGAGCGACGCGAAGATCATGCAGAGGACCCACCAGAGGAACACCCGAGCCGGTACAGGGTGAGCTTCGTTTGCGACAAAGCGCTCCATAGCCTGGACCAGCTCAAGCGGGAAAGCGATCGCTTCCTTCAGCGGTCGCCCTCGCTGTGCGAAGATCTCCTTCTCAAGCGCCGTCAGCTCCGCCGTCTCGATCGAGGGGAGCTTGAGGTTGATCCTAAAGGCCACCCATTTCAGAGCCATGCGGAGCGAAGGAAGAACAGTCGGGCCGCATTCCCTCGAGTCAAGCTCCATGGCGTACTTCAGGATCTTGTCGTCCGAGATAGGGTAGAGGGGGAGCGGCACGTGCCGAGCCCACAATTCGAACTTCTCGAACCTACGAATGTGGTTTGCCATGGTAGAAGGCGCCCCCGAGGTGAACACCAACAGCCGAAGGCGAGCGCGTTCCTCTTCCGAAAGGATCCCTTCAGCATCGTGGACCCCTTCGGGCCGAGCGTGTTCGCCGGCCCGATCGGCGATCGCCTTCAGGCGCTTAGCCCATTTCTGTTTCTCGCGTTCTCCACGTCGAGCAGTGGAGTCGCCGAGGGAGAAGAAGAGCTTGCCGGCAGCCTCGATTTAGCCGAAGGAGCCAGAACTGGTGCAGCTAGAGCTCGGATGGCCATCTCCCGCTGAAAGTGTGCGATCGACTTTGCAGAACGTTCTCTAGGCACCTTAGAGCAGCGAGCAAAGCCCATCTGGTAGCCGAGAGACTCGACAAAGAGCGATTCCGCCGCCTTCACGAAGACCCAATACTGCTCGAGCATTTGGGTCCTCGGAGCCAGGAGGTCGTGCTCCGACTTGGCCGAGCTGGCCGTCCAGTTGAGAGACACTGCGGCGAACTGCTCGGGCGTCCCGGCGTCCATCGAAAGGACAAACGGGATCTCCGCAAGCCGGGTCGCCACGATCGCCTGGCGAAACCCATGGTCGAAACATGGGTAAGCAAGGATCTTCGCTGTCCAGCGATCGGCTGGCGCTGCTTCCCGCAACATCCTGCCGAGCCAAAACTAGCGAAAGAAGAAAATCAAGAGCGGCATCATGAGCATCGTCGTTGCCGTGCCCCGACCAACCTTCCCGGCCAACCGAACGGCACGACGAACGACGAACGACATGACGGCCGTGCACTGTGAACATGTTGCACTAAAAGAGGAAGGAGAGAGAGAGAGAGAGAGAGAGAGAGAGAGAGGGAGAGAGAGAGAGAGAGAGAGAGAGAGAGAGAGAGAGAGAGAGAGAGAGAGAGAGAGAGAGAGAGAGAGAGAAAGAGAGACATCAACAGTGAAAACATGTGCAGAACTGCTGACTGGCATCTGGCTGCACTTCGAAATCTTTTGCCCGAGCGGGAGCAGTCGTGGCTCCAAAATGCGAGCGAGAACTTAAATCGCCTTCACGGCATCTTGGGGTGAACACCCTAGGATCAAAACGGGTGAGCACCTCTGAGCTCGGCCTCGATCATGGCGTGCGGTGCGGCCTGAACGAGGTCGGCTCTCCTGCTGGAGCCAGCAAGTTCTCCGGCTCGGCCTCTTCGACCACGACCGTGGAGGACTGAGCTGCCGAAGAGGTAGCGTGACCAGCAGGGTTGTGGTACGTGTCAGCCAGCTCAGCGAACTGTGCCGGTGTGAGCTTTGCCGTCGAGCGGGCAAAGGAACGATCCTGCCGAGCATCGTCCCTGGCAGCATCGATCATGTGCCCACGGGTGCCCTCCTCCTCGTTCTGATCGTAGTCCACAGGCTGAGCAGGTGGACGATCTTCGGGGGCGAGCGCCCGGGACTCCATCTCCGCCCGATTGCGATTGCGAACGGCAATCTGAGAAGTCTCCGGCACGGCGGTGTCAGAGCTGACCGCCGCCTGCCGCCAAGCCCCTTGAGCAAGAGCGGGTGGGCCGAACGGCAGCGGAGAAGCCGACTCCTGGGTGTGGGTCATCTCGGCGAGCGCCGCCCTTGAGACCACGGCCCCCTGCATCACGTAGAGCTTGGCCTCGCACTGAACGTGGAAGTTGCCATGATCAAGGCCGCCCACGAACGAGACCAACACGCCGATATTGGCATAGTCCGTGGTGAGAGCATTGTGCCACCAGTTTTGGTGAGCGGCCGCCAGCTGAGCGAACTGCTCAGTCTGCTCAGGCCCCTCCACCCGTGCCCGCTGATCACGGCACCGGGTGATGGCCTGGATGAGCGTGGGCCCGCTGATGTGGGAGACCGTCAACCACGTAGCCGGGACCGAAGTGCGAGCGCACTTCAAGTCCATGCGATTGTTGGCATCCCGATAGCGGAATTCCAGCCGATCGGCGTCATTACCGACCGCATCCTCCGAAGAGCGGCTGCACACTCGGAGCTCGAACCTCGAGCGGGCATGATCTCCAGCCACGACCACGCCCTGAGGGCCCACAGAGTAGGTGCGACCGCCACACTCGAAAGAGAAGACGGAGCACTTCCAGCCGGTGAAAGCAGCCACCACGACCGAGAGCCGCACCCGACCACGGCAGACGTCGCGGATCAGCAGCTCGTCAGCGAACTGCTGCTGAACCGACAGATCCGAGTCGGCACGGTATCCCCTCAGGATCCAGTGAAAGAGGATCTCATTGCCATTGTACACCTTGATATCGGTGTACGATGGCGACGTGTCCCTGAGCACCGGCCACGAGAAGGGCTGAAAAGCCTCGTGGGCGAGCGCCTTGGCGGTCTGAGCAGACCAGTCTCCACAAGGAACTCCTGTCGTGGAGTCCACTGAGATCGCCAGTGTCGCCTTTATGCCGTCCAGAGTGTAGTTGGCAAAGAGCGACATGTCATACCCAGAACTGGGAGTCATGACTTGATCTCTCTCCGTCAAGACGTTCGTCGAGGAGGAGGCGTTCGTCATAATCTCCCGAACCAGCCATGCCTGAAAAGGCGAGACGATCCTCTCATCTCTGGTGTCGACCATGATGATCGAGGTCTTGCAATCGTCGTCGTCACAGGTAGCGATCGACTCAATGTGCTGGGGCAGACGAACCTCATAAGGGTTGTGAGCAGCATTCGGGAAACGATCACCACCACGATCACGGCGGTGGCGCCTCTCCCTGCGATCTTGCTGGGTCTGACCAGCCCACTGGCCCCTCGGTTGATTCGGGTAACCAGAATAGGGCTGCGGCCTGCTGCTGACCCCAAGCGTCCTGACCCCAACCAGCCATAGCTCGAGCGAAAGCTACCCAGGCCCTAGACCTCACCTGATCGACAAAAAGATCCTTCGCGGATCGAGACGATCGTCTCGACCCAAAATGGCCACGGATCAATGTGGTGATCAAAAGTCAAAAGAGCATGCTGATCTCATGCCGTAGTGTGACCCTCCTATTCCAGACCTACCTAGCCGATAATAGGAGAACTTAGGGGTTTAGGGGTTACTTGGAGGATCATGGGACTTAGTAAGTAAGGTTCTAAGTACCCTAATTGGGGTCATAAGTAGTTATAAGTAGTTTTAAGTAGTTATAAGTATAGCTACCCTAATTATAACCCTAGTTACAAAGTCCCAGGATCCTTTAAGTAGGGCTAGGCCCTTTTGCCTAGCCTTTCGCCCTGGGCTTCCTCGAGCAAGAGTTCCAGACAAGGAGATGGTCATAGAAGAGGATACTGGTAGCTCTGAGCCCGATGTTTTGGTAAACGCGGAGCACCACGCTCACGACTGCCACCTGCTGCTGCTACTGCTGCTGCTGCTGCTGCTGCTGGTGCTCCTCCTTCTCTTGGTGGTGCTGCCACTGCTGCTGCACCTACTACTGCCACCCGCCTCGGCGCCAGCACCAACTCCAAAATGCTACTTTCGCACACACGCGACCAGCCCCAAACCCTGAAACCCCCGAACCCCAGAGCCCCGAACCTCGAAGCCCTAAAACCCTAAACCCCTAAACCCTTAAACCCCAAACCCCGAAGCCCGAAGCCCTAATAGCCCCAAGCCCCCGAAACAGGCCTGCGCAGCCTCCTTTGCGGCGGTTTCAGCAGTATCGCACGTCCCACAGGCCGGCACGTAGTGGGGATAAGCCTGGCTTTGAGCTAGGTCGCCTACATGTTGACGGTTTGGGGAGATAAGTTCCCTAAACCCTAAACCCTGAACCCAACCCAAAGCCCTGAACTCTATAAACCCTGAACCCTCAACCCTAAACCCGGATAGAAGGGTTTCTATACCCTCCTAAGAACCATAATAAAATGGCATAAAAATACTATGTTCAATAGTCTCTTGGGTTTCTATATGAACAAAATTTTTTTAAATTCTAAGGAGACTATAGGCTTTTGCACATTTTTCCATGAGCATTTCGCCTCTTCCGGGCTCCCCTTAGCGCTGAAAAAAACCTCGCGAAGGCGATGAGCGTCAAAGCGTATGCTCAAGCTGTCGGCTTAGGGGGTTCGGGGTTTAGGGTTTAGGGGTTTAAGGTTTAGGGGTTTAGGGCTTAGGGGCTTAAGGTTTAGGGGCTTAGGGTTTAGGGTTTAGAGTTTGGGCAGACCTGCGTGGGAAACGCGCTGAAGCCACTGCAAGAAAACCCTCAATCTCTGCCACAGGCCTCCAAGCCCCAAGTTTTGAAACAACACCCGACGCGCTAAACTGAAAGGACACATATTGATATGTTCACTCCAACTCGAAGATCTACCGGCTCTTTGTGAAAACCACAACAACCCGAACCTCGCAAAACTCTGTAACTCTGCATGTGTGCGTGTGCATTCCTATAAGAACAATTAGAGTCAGAGAGAGATAGAGACAGACAGAGTGTTTCTTATCGCAACAATCATCGCATCCGCAGCAAGACACCTAAACCCAAAACCCTAACCCTACGCCCACTAAACCCTAAACCCTAATGACCCAAATCAAACCCTTAAGCCCTCAACCCTAAACCCTAAGAACCCTACCCCTAAAACTCCTAAACCCTAGAAAGCCCACTTGGAGGATCATGGGACTTAGTAAGTAAGGTTATAAGTACCTTAATTGGGGTTATAAGTATAGTTACCCTAATTATAACCTTAGTTACTGAGTCCCATGATCCTTTAAGAAAACTCCTAAACCCTAAACCCTATAGATCCCTTTTAGGAACCCCCTACAGATCCCCTTTAGGGGAGCCCTTTAAGGAACCCTATAGAAGCCCAGGCACCTGGGCGTGCCAAGCCCACGTGCAAAGCAGCAGCGCCCGGCGGTACATCGCGGCCCGCGGCCAGGGGCTCCCCGGGCCAAAGGCTGCGGTCGCTGCGAGTCAGAGCTGACAAGCGAGGCCCTGGAGAAGAGAGAGACAGAAGAGAGAAGAGAAGAGAAGAGAAGAGAAGAGAAGAGAAGAGAAGAGAAGAGAAGAGAAGAGAAGAGAAGAGAAGAGAAGAGAAGAGAAGAGAAGAGAAGAGAGAGAGATTGAGGAACGGATCCACGCTTTCCTCGAACCTGACGCCAAACGAAGCCTCTTTTTGCTTCCAACTTCTCTGCTGCTTCTCGCATCACTGCACTGCGGTCCGCATGACACCTGCGGTTCCCAAGATCGTCTGCATCAAAGAAGCTCCCTCCCCTGAAAAAAAACCTCCTGAGTTCATAGCGGATGCTTCGCCAGAAACAGGCTTCGCTCGGTGTCCTGCCAGCGGGCTCGTCGCTATTCTGAGGAGGGAGCCCTTGCGTGCGCATGCCCTGCAAGAGGCATTCCCAGATAAAACTCAAGCTCTGCATCGTGTGTTATACCTTGGGTGGAACAAAGTGAGTTTACTATAATATGATATACTATAAAATAATATACTATACTATAATATTAGTTGATAAGCATCCCCCGGATCTTGGAAGCGAGAGTAGGAAGTACGTATGATCGTCATTGGTAGCCAGGAACGCGGAAAACTTGAGATGCGGCTTTCACCGAGAAGGTCGACACCCACCTCCAGTGGCATCCCTAGTACTCACAGAAGCCGCGGAGCCGTCACGTTGCATCTGCACTTCAAGCGAGGACCGGTCTGAGAGTTTGGGGCCACTCCATCTGCCCTCCCGTGCACCCGGTTTAGGGTTTTTTTAAGTGCAATAGCCCCTTTTCCAGCAGAGTTCGAGCTTGCTCATGTTAGAGCATGCACTGTCACAACCCCCCTAGGGTTTAGGGTTCAGGCGGACACACCCAGAGCCTCCAAGACCCGCCAAGCTTGGGAGTTACCAGTTTGGTGTTCTCACGTGCTGCACGCCCCACCCCCAGCGATGGTACTCGTCATAGGAGAAGACGAAGCGGAAATGCGGGAGTCACCATGTTGGCACTTTCACAGCTGGAACACACAAAACAACAAACCCTTCAACCCCAACCGGTGCAAAGCGTTTCGTGGCTCCGCCTTTGCTGCTCCGGCTTTTGTACATGGCCGTACCCTGTAAGATCTGCAAGGGTCAGCGCGACACTGTCTCAAAACCCTACAGCCCTACATGCCGAGATTTCGAACGGGGAAGCCTCGATCTGTGGCACAACATCCAGCAAGCTTGATACAAACCAAGCTCTCACTCTGACATACTATACTAGACTATCCTAGAAAATGCTATAATACACTACAATATACTATACTATAATGACCCCTTCCTCGTCCTCGGCGCCTTGATCTGGGAGCCCTCCGCCCTCGACATCGGCAAACGAGAGGCGCCTTGCAGCGGAAGGCAAAAGGAAAGCAAAGACTCTCGCGGAGGTCTCCGAGGTGCCACCGCAGCATTTCTCGCTTGCGATCGCAGTTCGATCGTCGGTTTTAAGCCAATATACGCCAAAGAGAGACATGCTGCTCCTCCCCCAGACTTTGCTAGCGTTTGCCTGGCCTTCGGCCTCTGACGAGGGTGGAGCCTTTGCTTGGCCTTCGGCCTCGAAAGTGGGAGGGTGGAGCCAGGAAACGAACAAAAACGCCTGCCAGATCTTTTGAGAGGCAAGCAGGCTAGAAAATTAAAAGACGTCTGAGGAAAGCGGCAGACTATTTGACGATGTAAGTGCAGGATAGTTTGATAAAAGCAAAAAGGCGGGCCGGTACTTCCTGGGCCTGCGAACGGCTAACATTCCCGCTGCTCACCTCTGGCAGGTGACGTACACGTTGAAGGTCGTCTCTGCCGAGCCGGCGCTGTTGGATGCACTGCACGTGACCCTTGTCCTGCCGAGGCGGAACAACGATCCCGAGGGCGGAGAGCATTCCGTAGCGGCTCCACAGCCACCGTTGGCGGAGACCTTGTACTCGACGTGCATGGACCGGCGGCAAAATTGGCTTTGCACCACCACGTCTGATGCCGGACCGAAGCTGGGCACCTCCACGCCCTCATTGACGGTGACCTGAAAGTTCTCGGTGGCGGCGTTGCCTGAAGCATCTCTTGCTGTGCACTGCACCGTGGTGCTGCCGACCGGGAACAGACTCAACGACGGAGGGGTACAGGTGACTTGGGGAGGGCCGCATGCATCGGTCGCCGCAGCTTCGAAGCTAACCTGGGCAGAGTCGCCACAGCCGGCATTCGCGGTCTTGTCCACGAAGGTCGAGTCAAAGGCCGGCGGCGTGGTGTCGCCGGCGACCGTCACTTGAAAGGTCATGGGAGCTGCGGCATTTCCCGCGGAATCTCGTGCGGTGCAGGTGACGCTTGTGTTTCCCACAGGAAACAAGCTCCCGGACGGAGGGGTGCAAGTGGGTGCAACAGGGCCGTCACAGCCATCCCTAGCCTCCACCACAAAGGTTACCTGGGCTGTCTCGCCACATGTTGCCACATCATCGATATCAGCAAGCGGAGTGATGACAGGAGCCACACTGTCCCCGCCGGTCACCGTCACGTCAAAGTTTACCTTGGCGGTGTTCCCCGAAGAATCTGCTGCCGTGCATTCCACGGGAGTGCTTCCAAGCTGAAACGAAGATCCGGAGGACGGGGTGCAGAGCACACTGACCGCCGGGCACTCATCGGTGAACGTTGCGTCAAAGGTGACCTCGGCACTGTCACCGCAGCTGCCAGCATCGCCGGTGGGATTGGCGGGTGATACCAGCACTGGCGGACCTGGCGGAGTGGTGTCGCCGGCGACCGACACTTGAAAGGTCATCGGAGTTGCAGCATTGCCCGCGGAATCCTGTGCGGTGCAGGTGACGCTTGTGTTTCCCACAGGAAACAAGCTCCCGGACGGAGGGGTGCAAGTGGGTGCAACAGGGCCGTCACAGCCATCCCTAGCCTCCACCACAAAGGTTACCTGGGCTGTCTCGCCACATGTTGCCACATCATCGATATCAGCAAGCGGAGTGATGACAGGAGCCACACTGTCCCCGCCGGTCACCGTCACGTCAAAGTTTACCTTGGCGGTGTTCCCCGAAGAATCTGCTGCCGTGCATTCCACGGGAGTGCTTCCAAGCTGAAACGAAGATCCGGAGGACGGGGTGCAGAGCACACTGACCGCCGGGCACTCATCGGTGAACGTTGCGTCAAAGGTGACCTCGGCACTGTCACCGCAGCTGCCAGCATCGCCGGTGGGATTGGCGGGTGATACCAGCACTGGCGGACCTGGCGGAGTGGTGTCGCCGGCGACCGACACTTGAAAGGTCATCGGAGTTGCAGCATTGCCCGCGGAATCCTGTGCGGTGCAGGTGACGCTTGTGTTTCCCACAGGAAACAAGCTCCCGGACGGAGGGGTGCAAGTGGGCGTAACAGTGTCGCAGTTATCGGAAGCCTCCACCGCAAAGGTTACCTGAGCAAGCTGGCCGCATGTTGTCACTTCTATGACGTCCGCGAAGCTTTTGCTCAAGTCCGGAGGCTCGGCGTCCTTCACCTCGGTCTCGAAGCTGAACGTGAAGCCATCCGAGCTTTCGCACGAGATTTGGGTCGTGCCCAAGGGAAGAGGCGCAGCATTCGAGGGTCTGCAGGTGTAGGAAACCCCCATGCATTCGTCGCTAAAGTCGGAAAAGCTTGACTGGCACTGCCACGCGTCGGTTCTGAGCTCTTTGAGGAAGAGAGTTTGGCAAGTGTACAATTCATCCAGGGCGATCTCGTTACCCCCCGAGAGGAACCTGGGTTCTGGTTGAAGAATTAGCTATTTCAAATTACCATAATGGGGGGATCTAGACCTAGAGTAAAAAAATGGGGTTTCTTTACAACCCAGGTACACGTACGCCGTCCCCTCCTCGGAGATGGTGCGGCCCACGCTGGCGAAGTCCGCCATGAGCGTCATCTTCAGGTTTTGGCTGCCATCGTAGAGCCGGGCAACCACTTCCTGGGTTCTTGTTGAGGGATGTAATCTAAGTTACCATAGTAAGAAAACAAAACCCTATTATTTACTATAGATCCCTGAAGTTGCCATAAAAAGGAGATCATATTGCTTACTACAGATCTCTATGATGGTAATGTAGGTTAAAGTCTGTAGCAAGAACCCAGCTTCTGTTGTGGAGATCACCTGCATATAGACAGACAGCCATTGGAAAGAGAGAGCTGAATTCGGGTACACAGCGGTCCCACCAACGTTCGAAATGGCCCAGTTGGTCCGATCCCGCCACTGCATGCAAAGCTCCAGTGACCCGTCCCCGTCGTGATCGCATTTGTATATGTGTAGGTCTTTGGTACCCGACAGATCGGAGTCAAAGCCGACTGAAACACTATTTCCAGCATTCTGAACCCAGAGATAGAAAAACAGTGTAGTCCCGACGGCACTCGTGACAGGGAACGTCGGCGATCGCCAGATTGCACCATACAGATTCCCCTCGAGCCAGCCATTGATAGGAGTCCCCGTGTTGGCACTCTGGTAAGTAATTTTGGCTGGGTCAGGTTCTGGCCAAGTGCCTTCAAAGCTTTCGATCAGGTACCAGGAAGCCGCATTTCGGGCCGAACTGCTTCCAGCCATGGTTAACGCCTTTGAAGGTGCCTTCGGAGGTCCTGGCACATCCTGCTCCATATCGGTATCCTCCACACCAGCCGACTCGGCGTCCGCCTTCAAGCCCTCGAGGATGTTTTCGACGAGGTCGTCTGGGCACCCGCGCGTGAAGTAGTGGATGTAGCCTGCGGGATCTTGCGCTTCCGACGCATTGTTGTAACACTCCGGGGAGGTCCCCATCTCCGTGCGGGCGAGCACTGGATTCGACAGGTTCGAGGCGTCGACCACCACACAGCACCCCTGAACGATCTCAGGGCCCACCAGGCGACCTTGATGCGTCTGGAGCTGGAGGAGCCCGGTGGTGTCATTCCCCTGACACCTGCTGGCCGGGGTCTCGCATGTGCCGGTGCCTGCTGCAAGTTTCACCACCAGGAGCCCTAGAAAGGCAAAGGAGCTCATCTTGCTCGGCTACACGGCTGTGACCTGCGTCCGGCTACGAACTTTGTGAGCTTGAGCTTGGGCCGTTCTCAAGCGGGAAAGCCAAGCAACAGCTGTGCAGGCGACTGTCGCAACACTCTGCCAACTTCTGCCATCAATCAACTTACCTTTGGTTAGTAGGGAATGGAAGAATGGTAGTAATAGTAGTTATAATTATACCCCATGCTTCCATTCTCTACTAACCAAAGGTAAGTCAAGACATCAGCGAAATGCCACGGGCACCTCCTTCCGACTGCACCTCGCGGGACAGCTCAAATCAAGACAGCTCTGTGTCATGGGGTCGTGGTTTCCGGATTCAATATACCTAAACCTACCAAAAACCTACTTTTTTGTAGGGTCCCTATAAATTCCATATTCAATATAGTTTAAGGTTCAGGGATTGGCGGTCATGAGGAGCACAAACAGGGGGGAGGGGTCGGGAGGTGCGTTTCAGACGGCTGCTCGAGTCACAGCTCTGTCCGTCGTCCCTGTGCCGCCGGACCCAGACAGCTAAAGGCTCTGCGAAGAGCTATGCGTTACGAGTCACCGTTTTAGAGTTTGGCGTCTGCGGTCTAGGGTTTAGTTTGTCGTGTTGTGAAATCCCTTCTGGACCATCACTCCAAAGGTACAGCACACCATGTCATGATGCTTGCAGCTCCGCAATGCTTCACGCACTCAAGACTGGATGCTTCACACCGTAAGACCAGGGCGACGCTGGTCCATTGCTGGCAGCACCATGTACCGGTACCTGCGCCGGAGACCGGGCCAGGGCGACCCTCCGAGCCTGAGGCTGAAGCTCAAGAGGAAGCCAACGAGAAATCGAATCAAGGAATGTAGAATTTTCAGAAGTCTGTAGTACATTGTCATATAAGATGTCATAAGAGATAAGGATGAGGACCAGGACACGGTTAGATCTCATGCTGCCGCACAAAGCTCTGTGGTTGCCAGCAGCTTCCCTGCCTCATTGGGACATGGAGCCTATTGCCTGTCTAGAGCTGGATGGCACAATGCCTGGCACTTGCTATCTTCGGGGTGACTTCGGCAAGCCCTTCAGCATGCCGTCAGGGTCATTATTTGGGCTACTATATTACATGCAAACCGAACTTCCCTGGTGCAACTATTCCCGCGAAGGAAGACGAAGCCTGATCCTGACCCCACGTTGACGGCGCGGTGATCGAAGGAACCCGCGAAGTGCACGGTGCGTTCTGGAGTCACCGTTGTAGCCTTCCTCTACCATAGAGAAGGCGCGAACGCGAGAGGACTGCTCTCATCACATCAGGAAAAATGTTCCCTTAAAGGGGTCTATAAGGATTAGTATAATAGAGGCCTTTATAATTAGAATATGGTTTTGGTGTATATGGAAGAAGCGCTTAGGTTTCACACGGGATGTGTGCTGCTAGAGCCGAACACCAATTTCCGTGCCCCGAAGCTCTCCAGCCGGATTCTGGACTCAAAGCACATGTAAACAAGCCACCACGCCAGTCTGAAACCGGATCCTGAACAAAATCAAGTCCCGAGACTTTTCTGTAAACACAAACCCTCACGAAGGCTGCTGCGACAGGCAAAACGCTGACCATTACACACTGAACACCGAAGCAGGAACAAGAACAGCAAAGACAAGCATGCTCAGCAGTCTGAACATCGTAAGCAGATTCAAAACATGTTTACCAGTCATATTATGACTGGCCAGCCCCGTAAGCGGTGGAGCCGTTGTAAACTCTTAACTTCCCCGGTTTCCTTAAGCCACACAAGCATTGAACCGTACTAGGATTTGGGTCTTGGGCTTTAAGGCTTCCGGGTATAGGATTTAGGCTTGAGGGACATTGGCTGCAATCAAGAACATTACACGCTACTTCTCATTGCTGTTTCTCCTTCTGGATGCTGCTGCCGGAGATAAGAGGTCAAGGTAACAGAGACGGAACAATCCAAGTATCTACACCCGTAGACTTTCAAACCCCCGACAATCACCTGCAAAACCCGACATCCGCCAAAAAAAAGAAAAAAAACACAAATTAGACAGAGGCCTGCAAAACTGGAGTAGGGTTTAGGGTTTAGGGTTAGGGTTAGGATTAGGATGTACGTTTTACTATGAAGACACTGAAGAAGCAGCAAAATAGATGTTTCTTCAGGTCCCTGTATTTATATTGAGCCAACGACCGGCCTCCCTCAAGATCTTGAAGGCAGCTTTGCCACCATACTGGGCCTGACATGACAGGCACAGCTGGAATTCCGCAACTCGAAACCCTCAGAGCCCAAAGTCTTAGCGATGTGATTTAGGGTTCGGATTGACAGGTTTAACAGTTTCAAGTGCCCGATTCTGGGAAAAAATCCGCAAACCCTGAACCCTAAGCTGTGAGGGTAGGCTTCAGACAGGCCCAAGGTCTTGGCATCACCTGCAGCCACCCGTGCGGCCGCAGCGGCCTGCCGTGTTCAGACGAGGCGATCTAGAGTCCTTCATAATGTCTAACCGGGTTCCTACAGGTTTTCCTTTAAAGGGTTTCTATAGGTACTATAGGGTATACAATAAGCGCTTATTCAAGGGGTGCACGGAATCATAGGGGCTTGTACGGCCTTTAAACTATGCTATGAGGGCCGAAGCGGGTGCATCTTGCAGTACATCCAGTAGACCTACACTGGGAAAATACGGTGGTACTTTTTTCATCGTTCAGACACTCGCAAGCAGGCTTGCGAGTGGGTTGCTGTACGGCCTACGGCTTGACAAGGCTTGGGCTTAGAGTGACATACGGTTGAAGATGTAAACCCTGCATTTCCTTCATGATGCTAGCCTATGGAGATTATGGTATATTCAATAATATTATGGTATATTCCTTAGTATGGTATATTCCTTATAATGAGTAATGGAGGATTCATATCAACAACAGCAGGACAGTTTTGGAGGTTTTGGGGCGATGCGCCATGCGCGAGCACCCGAAATGGCTTGAGGCGCTGGCAGCTTTGCCACCTGGCCCAGGGCGGAAGACCGTACTAACAAGGAGGATTACAGGAGCAACAGCAGTCATCGGCACAAATCTTTAAAGGTTGTCATGGATCTGAACCCAAACCGCATGATCCGCATAGCAAATCGATAGCGGAATTGACAAAGGGAGAAAACAACAGGCAGAGGCCCCAAAGCTAATAGGCTTTTGGAGGTATATTATACTATGACTATCATAAACAACCCCCAAGATGGTATTGGTAGTTATATAGGCCCCTACACTAAATCCTCATACTAACCCTTATAGCAGCCCTTATAGATCCCTGAAAAGGAACCCTATTCTAATTATTAGGGCCCTTACATTATGAGAGACAGCAACAGGCAGAGGCTCCGAAGCTTGGTGCAGGGCCTCGTCGTATCGTTCTGGGCCGTTGTTTGGGTCCAGCTGGAAAAGCGTGGCCTGCATCAGACCAGACACTCCCAGAGAGCCCAATACCCCTGAATTAAGGAATATACCTTAAATCATGATAATTCATAATATGAAGGCCCCTATATTTTAAGCTATATTCCTTAATTAAGGGATATTGGGCTTTCTGGGCTCTCCCCATTCCTGCAACCGCACTGGATTCCGAGATGTTGAAATAAGAAGGCTAAGCCCCTCAGACCAGAACGCGAAGCGCCTCCCTGATTGCCATCAGATAGACAGGCTCGTTGAAGCGAATTGTGGCTTCCTCGGCAAGGAAACCGATGGTGCTGAAAGGCCACGTCAATGCATGTATGTATATATGCATGTATGTATGTACGTATGTATGTATGTGGTTACATACATACAAGCATACATAAAGACAGAGACATGCTACCAACAGCATCTTGCTCGGCCAATCTCGGCTACACATGTGTGACCTGCATCCGGCCGCAAGAACTTTGTGAGCTTGAGTTTAAGCAACAGCTGTGCGGGCGAGCCAACACTCATCACACCTAAAAAAAGGCATGCTCGCACCCCGATCGACCTGCCGATCGACAGCAACAATATGGTTGGGGGGGGGGGGGTGAATGTCCTGAACTGTTGCTCGCGTCACAGCTCAGTCTTGCCACGCGACTCAAGTCCGGAAGAACCCCATCCATAGGCTTCGTATGATAGCGCGGGGCTATGTCAGTAACACACGCAGAAGAATTCTTCCCAAGACGACCGTCTCAGCACAAAAGCAATCGAAAGAAACGAGGCTTCCACCAAGCACCAGGCTTGTGCAGTGTAATGCTGTACATGAGCAGGAACTTGTCGAACTTCGCTGCCTAGCCGTGACCAGCGCAGCTCTTCGACAACCAACCAAACACCTAGACAAGCGTAGCGCACAGCCACTGACTGTGGAAGCTATCGAGCGGCGATATCATATCAGTTTATTACAAACTGTAATATATATATATATATATATATATATATATATATATATATACATACATATATACATATGTGTATATATATATACACATACATACATACATACATACATAAGAATAAGAGATCAGGATGAGGACGGGGACATTGTGATTAGACATTCGGCCGCACGAAGCTCTGTGGTTGCCGGCGGCTTCCCTGCCTGATTGCCTACACTCCAAAAGTAAAAGGAGGGACCCTGAATAAGGACCCCTAGGTATAAACCCATAATATAGCTATTATGCACCCATTATATAGCCCATTATAGGGTAGGGGTCCCCATTAAGGGTCCCTCCTTTTCCCCTTTGACCATGGCAACATGCCCGGCACTGGCTATCTTCGGGGTGATTGCTCTCGAAGTGCCGGCACCCCAGTGGCGATTGAATTGCGGGTGCAATCGCCGTTCGCGGACCATTTGATGGAACGCATTCCTGCTCGACCCGCCTCATCGGTGATGTTGACGGCGTGGTGATTGAAGGAACCTACGAAGTGCACGGTGCGCTCTGGAGTCGCCAGCTTGCAACCTTCCTGGGCCATAGCGAGGCAGCATGCGGCAGCGAATGCGAGCGGACAGCTCTCATCGCATCAGGAGGGAGGGTTCTGCATGTAGGCCCGCTCGCGGTATGTGTGCAAATAAGGCGTCGGCAGGTGTCCTGGTTTCTGTTCCGGAGCAAGGTGGCAAAACACCTCAGCACTGGCTTGCAGTACGTGTACGAATTCTTAATAGGATCACTGTCGCGAATTATCAGGGCCAAGGAGACCGAACTGGTGCTCCTGGGATACCCTGAGCTCTCTCCCCTGGCGGTAAACATCACGGAGGAAGACGGGCCATCACACCACTCCGGGCTCACCCTTCAGAGCGAATCAAGCGAATGCTTGCTGGCGAGTTGAGCTTCGGACTTGGGGGGTTCCTTACTATAACTACAGTATAATCCCCAAGGGTCCATGTACCCATATGGGAGTTTCCGAAAGTAGGGGACCCTAATATAGTACCCTAAATAGTAGGATCCTTACTATAAGGACCCCAAAACAAGGTACCCCTAATTTCGGAAACTCCCATATAGAGATACATGGGACTTAGTAACTGGGGTTATAATTAAAGTAACTATACTTATAGCCCCAATTAAGGTGCTTATAACCTTACTTACTAAGTCCCATGATCCTCCAAGTAGAGATACATGGGCCCCAAAGTAGCCATGTGGGCGCCGGATCCGGACCTGAAGACCCCGAAGCACTGCAGTCGGCTTGCGTGCTACTCCCCAGCAATGGCTGACGACGTTCCAGAGTTTATCAGACTCAATGGCCTCGAAATTTTGAGGGTTTAGGGTTTAGAGTTTAGAGTTTAGAGTTTAGGGTTTAGGGTTTAGGGTTTAGGGTTTAGGGCTTAGGGACTGTATTTTCTTCGTTTGCGAGCTTGCTTTCTGCGGGTGATTCGTAGATTTGGGGTACCTTTCACGACCACTTGGGTCAAGGGCGCTGGTCTGAAAGCCCTGGATTCGGGGGCTTCGGGCAAACACAGCTCCGGTCATCGAAGAGGTCAGATTCGATGCAGGAGCACATGAACTGATGTAGCCTCTCCTGAGTCTACGCTCCCGAAAGGCCCCTTAGCGCCTGGGGCCGCCCGAGACTCTAAGCCCTACATCCCTAAAACAAAATCCCTAAGACTCTACACGCCTAAAACTCCTGAACTTCAAAGAGCCCGGAGACCTTGGGGCAGCGACTTCCGAACATCATCAGACCTTGGCACGTTCGAGGCTCTTTTTGAGGGATTAGGGTTTAGGGTTCGGGGTATGGCACCTAAACCGACTGCACCCAAAACGCAAACCACCAAGACAGCAACACACTTGCTAGAAAGCATGCAACAGGTAAACCGTAAGCCGTGACTGGACATGAGGACGGCTACTCTTCAACACGCACCCGACCTCACCGCCCGCCTATCCTTGCTGCGATGGCTCTTCCTGGAAGGCCACGTAATGGGATAAACCCGACAGCAGCGCGCTTACCACAAGTTTTCGACAAGCTGTGAGATTTCGCTGGGGTTATGTGATATTTCTCCAGACGACCTGCTCATCCTCAAGTACCTCGAAAAAACGATGTTTTCACTCAGTACCAGGCTTATCCAGAATCCTCTTGTACATGAGCAAGGCTCGTTCTCTGCTAACTTTTCTGCCTCCGAGATGCTCGGCACCGCTCTTCGCCACACCCTCCGGCCTGCTGCAGACAGGATGGGTCTTCCGCGCGTTTCTGATTGGGTTTAGGGTTTAGGGTTTAGGGTTCAGGGTTTCTTCATGCGCACTCTGCAAAAAACGATCCTAAAGCAAGCTCACCAAACTCTGTGTACTATCTTCTCGCGAATGGTGTTGAGGAGTGGAACGAAGCGTTGAAACGTTACTTGCAGGTTGCTGTCTGTTCCACGGAATTCGGAAGGGCGATAGCTATAGTGGGGATTGCTCATGATAGTCAGTGATAGTAAACACTAGACAACAGCAACAACAACAGCATCAAACAGCAAGAGTTACCTTAAACCCTAGGCCCTGAACCCTCAAGCTAAATACGAGCAGGACGAGCTCTGCCTAACGAGCTACGCAGAACGCGACCGGAGTTTAGGATTTAAGGATTTACGGGCTTATTTCAAGGCTTAGAGGTTTACGGGTTTAGAGGCTTAGGGTTTCAGGATTTCGGCCGGCTCTATCTCACAGGGCCCCTCACAGCTGGTCTGGAGATCCCAGCAGCGCCTTTGCCAGGGAAGAGTTGCATCCTCCGCCCTCGAAGTGGGGAAGCTGGAGACCTTGCAGGCGCAGGAAAGGAAGAGACTGTCACAGCGGCTTTGAGCTGCTACTGCCGCTGAAGATATGAGGGTTGCTGTGAGGTTTTTCTCAGGGCCAATTTCAGAGGCACTGCAAGGATACTGTACATCTCATTCTGGCGCATTGCTCGCTCCAAGATGCGTGCACACAGCTCGAGCCGGAAAACCAATCAATGTCGTCCGCCGGATCACTTGAGATGCAGCCGGATTCTGTTCATAAGCATATCTCTGCACAAAAACTGAAGCTAGTTTCAGATTTAAAAGTGGGTCAGCTCCAACTGCTGGACCCTCGAATGACTCGTGCCACGGTTCGGTTCTCACCGATGGGCGTAGCTGCCCCGGCATTTTCGATACTCGTAGTGCTTGCAGTACACCTCTTCGTTGTAGTCTCGGGGGGTGAGTCTACCGGACACCAATCATATTTAAACCGCCCGCCGCATCACTAGAGATGCGGTTGGCTACAGAAGAGAGAGCAGAGGATTGCAGCACTTTACGCGATGCAAGCTCATATCTAGGCATCAAAACTACAGTTAAAACCGGCTCGCAGTTCTGGGCTCATCGAACGGCTCATGTGGGTAGTTGTCAAAATTATGGTCCCTTTTTGGGTACCTTAAATATTGGGTGCCGTACTATAATATGGACCCAAAAAGGGACCATAATTTTGACAACTACCCATGTGCTGACTCAGTTGGTTCTGGCTAGCGGACGTAGCCGCCCCAGCGATGTCGGTAGCGAGGAGGATGAGGAGGATCGCAGTACACGTTCACGTTGAAGGTCGTCTCCGCCGAGCCGGCGTCGTTGGAGGCGGTGCACGTGACCGGGGTCTTGCCCAGTCGAAAAATGGATCCCGAGGCCGGAAAGCATTCGGCTCCGTGTCCACAACCCCCGTTGACAGGCACGTCGAACTGAACTCGCATGGCCTTACAGTACGGGCTGTGCACTTCGACATCTGAAGTCGGGCCGAAGCTAGGCGGCTCCACGCCCTTGAGGACGGTGACCACGAAGTTCTCGGTGGCTTCGTTACCCGATGCATCTCTTGCGGTGCACTGCACCGTGGTGCTGCCAACTGGGAAGAGGCTCAGGGACGTTGGGGTGCAAGAGACTTGGGGAGGGCCGCATGCATCGGTCGCCACAGCTTCGAAGCTTACCTGGGCAGAGTCGCCACAGCCGGCATCCGCGGTCTTGTTCACAAGGGTCGGGTCAAAGGCCGGCGGCGTGGTGTCGCCTGTGACCATCACTTGAAAGGTCATCGGAGTTGCCGCATTGCCTGCAGAATCCTGTGCGGTGCAGGTGACGTTTGTGGTTCCCACAGGAAATAAGCTCCCGGACGGAGGGGTGCAAGTGGGCGTAACAGTGTCGCAGTTATCGGAAGCCTCCACCACGAAGGTTACCTGGGCTGTCTCCCCACATGTTGTCACATCATCGATGTCAGCAAGCTGCGTGATGACAGGTGCGACACTGTCCCCGCCGGTCACCGTCACGTCAAAGCTTACCGTGACGGTGTTTCCCGAAGGATCTGCTGCCGTGCATTCCACGGGAGTACTTCCAAGCTGAAACGAAGATCCGGAGGACGGGGTGCAGAGCACACTGACCGGCTGGCACTCATCGGTAAACGTTGCGTCAAAGATGACCTCGGCACTGTCACCACAGCTGCCAGCATCGCCGGTGGGATTGACGGGCGATACCACCGGCGATTCAGGTGGCGTGGTGTCGCCTGCGACCATCACTTGAAAGGTCATGGTTGCGGCATTGCCCGCGGAATCCTGTGCGGTGCAGGTGACGTTTGTGGCGCCCACAGGAAATAAGCTGCCCGACGGGGGGATGCAAGTGGGTGTAACAGTGTCGCAGTTATCGGAAGCCTCAACCGCGAAAGTTACCTGAGCAAGCTGGCCGCATGTTGTCACTTCTATGACGTCCGCGAAGCTTTTGCTCAAGATCGGAGGCTCGGTGTCCTTCACCTCGGTCTCGAAGCTGAACGTGTAGCCATCCGAGCTTTCGCACGAGATTTGGGTCGTGCCCAAGGGAAGAGGCGCAGCATTCGAGGGTGTGCAGATGTAGGAAACCCCCAGGATGCATTCGTCTCTAAAGGGGGTTTGAGCTGACCTGCATTGCCCCGCGTCGGTGGGGAGCTCTTTGAGGATGATAGCTTGGCAAGTCGCCATGTGATCCAGGTAGACGTGGTAAGGGTAATAGAGGTACCTGGGTTCTTGTCAATTTAAGTTACCATAAGCTACCATAATAGGGATCTATAGTAAATAATCAGAAACCCGGTAGGCCCCCGTGTTGCTGTTTTACGTCTCCCAAAGCCCTTGTTATGTCCTATAATCCTTGCACGTCGGCCCGTATGAGCATAGAAGCCTTGTTTTAGAACACAAGCACTGCTTTGAAACATTCTCGTCCTCATGCTGCATATAAGGCCCTGTAGGCAGAATAGCAGCCTCTGAACCACCACAAGCCAAAACATCCAAAAACACCAACAAACAAAAAAGACAAAAAACAAATGGTGGACTCGTCTCCCGGGAAATTGTGGTGTTTGATGTTTTGCATTTTTGTTTTCTTGTTTTTTGTTTTTGTGGTTTTATGTTGTTTTGGTTTACCCGCCCACACGCCAATCGTTGGTTTCCCGCGCGGGGCTGCTTGCCCACAGAGGGTTGGAGCCTTGTCAGACTATAGTATGTGAAAAAATTGTTCTCCCTGCTTAGGAAATCTAGCCAACGTAGCGCAAGACCTTAACAAATCGCAAAGTGCCCAGTTTTCGTGCAAATATAAGCCGAAAGCCAATACCTGATGCTCAAAAATAGTAGTGCCGATGCATTTACATATTCTCCTTTCGAATTGAACAACAAGTTGCCATCGAATGATAACTTAGCGACTAAGGATTCCCAATTAGCAGAATTTTTTCACATGTTTACACACATGAACATATATATATATATATATATATATACATATTCAACTTGAGAACGCAAGCAACAAATAAGCTGGTATACCTTGTGCCCTTTGATGTTACTACGTGGGTAAAATGTTAATTGGTGCTCGACTGATAATCATTGGATTATATACCATGTTGCAGAAGCTCGGACACTGTGTCACTACATGTACGCTCACAGCAACCACACACCCAGCGCGCACATCTTTAGGACGTGTTGTACGTGTTGAACCACAATATGTACAACGTAACCCAAAGCCAAACCGATGACTAATCAATCAGTTCTTATGTAGCAAGAGCAAGCGAGCAGGCCCTCTCCTACTATCTCGCCAATACTCATTGAGCCAACTACAAGATTAACAAATACGGATACATGTCCGACCATCTCCGAATTAAACAACATGAGCTAGGCTTATTGTGTTTGAAGATGCGGACCCTAAAAGGCGTAATGGTTAATTGTTTCTCATGTTTGGGGATGTTGACTATTGTTTATTGCAATACACAACAAATCACGGTAAGTACAAAAAGAGCAAATCATCGTGTACTACTTAAGGGCGGGAACATAACACATGAAATATATAACCTCAAGACGTACTTTTATCAGTGACAACAGTATCGGACTAGCTGCCACTGAAATGCTATGTGCATTGCACTGACTAGTTCCTACCATCGGTGCAATATCAAGTACATAGGGTTGGTCGAAGGAGCCAAGATCATCGTGTACTACTTAAGGGCGGGGACATAACACATGAAACTTACAACCTCAAGACGCATTCAGAGTGACTAAAGTATCGGTCTAGCTGCCACTGAAATTCTATTCGCATTGCACTGACTAGTTTCCTCCTTCGGTGCAAGATCAACTACATACGGTTGCTCTTATTGTCGAGTTTCACCTACGTGTGCAATCCACATGAGAGCATTGTTGAATATACGGTAAAAGGGTCACACATCAAGCATGTAACAATGGTTTGCCTGTTAGCTGTATAGAAGAACAAAATTACCATAGCATTGCTCAAATCAGAATTTCATGTTATATCGGCTAAGATGGCATAGCAATGCAGGTATTTTTCTTTATTGACCAATGGTTGGATATCAAGTAAATGTTGAAGCGAGAATTAGTTTCATACTAGTTAGAACTAGAATACAAACATAATATACAAACACGGTGTAAGCATCAAGTGCTAGGCAAGTCCGTATTCAGGCAAAGTTAGTTACGTCGTTGTTAAACTACACTAACATTGCTTCAATACGCACTGAGTATGCAGGAAAGTACGTAGACACGTAACAGACATCACGTGAGTAACAACGAGGCACTACTTGTCAATACGCACTGAGTATGCAGGCAAGTACGTGGACACGTAACAGACATCACGTGAGTAGCAACGAGATAATCGTGGTTGAGCAATGATGAAGGAGCTATGATATGTGTATATATGGGATGAACATAATACTCGATGTTGTCACCTGGATTTGCATTTCTGCTGAACGTGCTGCATTGACGGTCTTGCCTTTCCATCAGAAGATGTACTGTTGTTCAACATGACACTATACCTCTTGACGTACGTACATAAGCTGCCATAGCATTGGACATCCGCTTTTGGTGCCACTCGCACCTGTACAACATGCAGATACAAACGGTAACCGCACATTCATCGGTATTTGCGGGGTTTTCTGTTCACACCGTCTACATGCATTCAACCCATGTACTCTTTTTATAGCCAAGAGGGGGCCTACCGGGTTCCCCTTCCCTAAATAATAGGGTTTCTTTGTTATGGAGTCAATCCCTTACGATAGTAAATAATAGGGTTTCTTTTTTATTATGGTAGCTTAAAAACCCTAAACCCCAAAGTCCTGAACAAGAGCCCGGGTACAGGTATGCCGTCCCGGAGTCGGAGATCGTGCGGCCCACGCTGGCGAAGTCTGCCATGAGCGTCATCCTCCTGCTTTCGCTGCTATCGTAGAGCCGGGCAACCACTTCCTGGGTTCTTGGTGAGGGATGGGTTTAGGGTTTCGGGTTTATTGGTAAGGGATTTAAGTTAATTAAGTTGCCATAGTAAGCAAATCATAATATTTACTAGTTACATATATATATATATATCCCCTTTATGGTAACTTCAATTAAATTCAACTCCTTAACAAGAACCCAGCTTCTGTTGTGGAGACCACCTGGATGAGAACCCGCAGCCATTGTGTTTGGAGAGCTGAAAGCTGGTAAACAGCTTGCCCCCCAACAACATTCCAATTGCCCCAGTTGGTCCGATCCCGAAACTGCATGTAAAGGTGCGGCACACCGTTGTAATAGCTTTTGTATATGAGTAGTTGTTTGGTACCCGACATCAGAGGATCGGTGTCAAAGCCGACGATTGCACTACCTACAGTGTTTGCCGTCACATAGATATAGAACTGCATTGTAGTCCCGACGGCACTCGTGACAGGGAACGTCGGCGATCGCCAGATTGCACCAAAGAGTTGCGGCGTGAGGCAACGGTACGGCGTGTAGCCTATGCCACCGGTGGAAACGGTCCCTTTGTAGGAAGACTGGTAGGTAATTTTGGCTGGGTCAGGTTCTGGCCAAGTGCCTTGAAAGCTCTCGAAGACGTAGTAGCCCGAAGCCGCATTTCGCTCCACACTGCTTCCAGCCATGGTTAAGGCCAAGGAAGGTGCCTCCGGCTGTCCCGGCACAGCCTCCTCCACATCGGCATCCTCCACACCCGCCGTGCCGGCGTCCGCCTTCAAGCCCTCGAGGATGTTTTCGACGAGGTCGTCTGGGCACCCACGCGTGAAGTAGCGGATGTAGCCGGCAGGATCTTGCGCTTCCGACGCATTGCTGTAACACTCCGGGGAGGTCCCCATCTCCGTGCGAGCAAGCACTGGCTTCGACATGTTCGAGGCGTCGACCACGACGCAGCACCCCTGAACGACCTCAAGGCCTACCAGGCGACCTTGATGACTCTGGAGCTGAAGGAGCCCCGTCGTGTCATTCCCCTGACACCTGCTGCCCGGGGTCTCGCATGTGCCGGTGCCTTCTGCAAGTTTCAGCACAAGGAGACACAGACATGCTAGAGAGAGCATTCTGCTTGGCTACACTGGCGTGCCCTGCGTCCGACTACGAACTTGGACAGCTTGAGTTTGAGCCGTTCTCAAGCAGAAACAGCTGTGCAGGCGGCTGTTGCAACCTTCTGCCAACGTCAGCCACCACTCGGAACATCAGCGACATGCATACCACGGGCACCTCAATCCGCAAGTCTAGCCTCCGTTGCAGCTGCAGGCTCTGCTGATTCATCCTTCGCACGGCCTCCAGGGCAGTAGGGGTTTAGGACGTTTAGGATGTTTAAGATGTTTAGGGTCTAGGCTTTTGGAGACGGTGCAAATTTAGAAGTTGAATCCAGAAACTTCTTGCCGGTCGGCACAAGCAAAGGATTAATATAGGGGCCGGAATCATATGAATAGGGTTTTGGGCCACATATGCTAGAACCACATGAAGGAACCCCCATAATTGTCTTGGTCGAAGCGGAGTCCGGAGTTCTGGGGCAATCCGCCCGGGAAGGCGGAAGTGTCTCTCACTTGGCGGAGCTAAAATCAGGGTCTGCCTGGCCTTGGAAAGCACAATACAAGATAGCATAATATAGTATAACGTAATAGAACATAGTATAGAAACGTATAATACAGTCACAGTCCTGGTGAAGTGCGCAACCCATCCCCCGAATGACCCCGCGCTCCCCCGAGGCTCAAGTATGTGACGCGAGCTTCACAAGGACACGGCTTGTCATAGCTTGTTCTGACCCCTGCTGAGACGCTCGGGCCGGGACATGTCCGGGCAAGTCCTGAGAGTTGAGCCATCATCAACTTATCGGTATATAAACATGCCCATATACGCAATTATGTGTGTATATATATATATACATACAAACACACATACACAGGTATGTACATGTCAGCATCCACATGAACATAAACATACGTATACATAGGCATATATGTACACATATGCATAGACATATACATGTACATATACTTCTACAGCTACAAATACATAAGGATACACATATACTTTTACATATACGTACACATATCCAGATACATATACTTTTACACAACCATCTTTGTGTATATTGTGTGTATATGTATATATATATATATACATATATATATATATACTGGTGTATGTATATAGGAACCCTGAACCTATGTATGCATGCATGCATGGATGGAGGGAGGGAGGGGAGGGATAAAGGGATGATATAATGCCCATGAGTCTCCGAGCAAATCCTGGCATGGCATGCTTTGCCGCTCGAGCCCCCGACACTTCGCTTCGCGCTGCAGCACTTGAAGACCCATAGCGCGTCGCACTGGGTGTCGGCTTCTTGGGTTGTAGGGTTTACTTAGTAAGTAGGTTATAGGTAGAGTTATAAGTACTCTAAATGGGGAAACCCCAATTAAAGTATAACCCTACTTATAACCAGCGTACTAAGTCCCCTGGGACTCCAAGTAGGGTCTTCACTCACCGTGGTCTACTGTCAAGAAGTAAGAAGAGACACGTCTGGAAGGCACGTGGACGTCGAGCATGCCGCGTAAAAAGGCCGAACACCTCACCCCTGCATAGGTTTAGGGCTCAACCCCAACACCCTAGAACCCTACATCTCCTTAACCCTCAAACCCTAAATCCCTAAAATCCCAAAATCCCAAACTTCTAGCTCTTAGTGCTCAGGGCACCCTCAAGAGGAGTCCCTGGTGGAAGGCCCCGACTTGAGCCGCCTTCCCAGCCCAGGGCTGGCGAATTCTTCAATGCTTTTTAGCTTTTAGGGCCTTTAGGGTTTTAGGGGTTTAGGGTTTAAGGTTTAGGGTTTAGGGTTTAGGGGTTTGGGGTTTAGGGGGTTTGGGGTTTAGGGGTTTAGGGTTCAGGGTTTAGGGTTTAGGGGGTTTGGGGTTTAGGGGTTTAGGGCCTTTAGGGTTTAGGGTTCAGGGTTTAGGCTTTAGGGGCGGGTTTCCAGGGCTTTAGGGCTCAGGGTTTACTTTGGGTGCAGGGTTTCGGGGCCTTGATGCGACGAAAACTTGAAGAAATTGTGGATCCGCAGTTTCTTCCGTCCAAGCGGTGGCTTGTCGCGTGAAAAGGGAGAGGGTACAGAACCCATAACCGCGCCATAACCATGGCAGCGACAGACCACGAGGTCGTCAAAACAACCCGAGCCCTCGCCACGAAAAGCTCTGGGAGGTGATCCAAACGCAGATTTTTGAATTTGGGACCTTGAACTAATACAGTGTAATTTAGTACTAGTATTATCATATTGTTACTATTACTATTTCTTTGACTAGTGCTATTGTTATTTGATTATTACTTTTACTCTTACTATTATTCCTGATCTAGGAAGCACCTTGAGGAATCTCCTTTTGGATCCTCCCTGCCGGCAATCCTCTGACACCGTACCGACACCCGATGCACGGGCTTAGAGACGGCACTTCTATGCACTTCTGCCCCGGAACCGCTTGAGGTCCCTGAGGTCTTATAACCCAGCAACCCCACCAATCGTCTAACCCCAAACCCTAAAGCTCAAACTTTGCTGCCTTCTAGGTTCGAAGCTGGCCAGACACGGGTTGGCATAAAACCTTTCCTACTCACCATGAAAAGCTTGGAAACAGAAGCAGCTCCCCTTCAGGGAGTTGCTAAAACTCTGATCACTACTCGGCACTGGCCACGTCTTTGAGGTCGCCTCAGGATGCAGAGATGTTGAAGTCATCGGAAAGCGTCACGGCCACAACGATAAGGGCAGCCAGGGTGAACACAGAGGCAATGTACATCGGGAGGTAGACGATGCCTTTCCGAGCGACGCAAGACCCTAAACCGAACAAGCTGCCCATAGTAGTGGTAGTAGTAGTAGTAGTAGTAGTAGTAGTAGTAGTAGTAGTAGTAGTGGTAGTGGTAGTAGTAGCAGTAGCAGTAGCAGTAGCAGCAGTAGCAGTAGCAGTAGCAGTATCAGTGGCAGTAGCAGCAGCAGCAGCAGCAGTAGCAGTAGCAGAGGCAGTGGCAGCAGCGACTACCACCCCACCACCGGACCGGTGACGTCATAGCTCTAATCTCACCAAGTAGTGTCACCACGACATTGAAACTAAGACGTCCAGGCTGCTCATCTGTCCCGCTTGTTTTTGTAAACCTGCTGAAACCAGGAGTGCCAGGGCGGTCTGTGCCGACGGCACTCCAGTCTGGATCACCAAGACCATGAACAGCATGGGCTGATCCTCTGGGAGGGCCCCCACATTCATTGCGAGAACGAGCAAAGGGATCGAGATGGCTGGCATCAGCAGCAGCTTGATGAAGGCCGCACCCACAGAGAGCCGCAACAACTGCGAGCCTTCCGCGGCTTCCTCAGAAGCTTCCGGGGGCCTCTCCTCCAAATCGGCGGCCGGTGCCTTCGCCTTTGTCGCACGCCTCCTCTGGATCTCAGCCCTGGCTCCCATGTACAGTGAGCCCCCAAGGATCATCGTTGAGAGCGGGACCCCAGCGGGTCCAAAGTTCGATGCGAAGGAACCGACAAAGCGCAGCGGACCCTCGGCGCGATCGCTTAGAAAGTCTCGCAGGGGAGCCACACAGCCCACGGCGATGCCTGCCAAAGCACACCAAACGACGCTGTCCACGGCCCGCAGCTTACGGAGGATGCCTTCGGCTTCGGCTTGGGATTCTGCAGTCCCTGCAGTCTGAGGCTTCATCGAGAGAGCGTAGGGTCGGCCAATGAAAAAGAGCGCCATCGTCCAAACCGTGGCGAAGAGGGAGATGACGGCAAAGCCTTCTACCAGGGCATCCTCCGGGTTAGCATTCACCCGTTTCCAGTTACTCACGATCGGTGGTAGCAATACGTAGGGCAGAGCTCCACAGTTTCCGAAGGTCGTGCTGAGAATCAGGATTTTCGAGTAGGGCGGCTGCAAGCGTAAGATGAAAGCGCCCAGCTGCCCCATCAGCGCGCCTATGATCATCACGATGGCAGAGCCCACACAAGCCATGTACCATTTCCTGGGCTCTTAAGGAGCTCATTTTTGTTACCATGATGGGGAGCCACAGTAGGTACTTCAGTCTAACTCCTTACCGCAACTCAAAATAAGTTTTTTACCATGGTGATGTAAATTGCTATGGTGATGTAAATTAAAGTCCTTGTTGTGATATCTTAAACTTAGCTAAACCCAGACACCCTAAACCCTAAGCCCTAAACCTCAAGAAAAGCCCAGTTTCCCCAGCATCTCCACAGAGTAAACTCTGAAGTTGGAGAACGCGAACACTGGAAAGAACACCTCCAGATTAAGGCTTTAGTGGGGTTTAGGGTCTAGGGGTTTCGGGTTTTAGGACTCCAGGGAATATCCTCTATGCTGACTGTTATATACTATATACTGTACACTCTAGACTTGCTACATGAGCTCTACTATGTACTCTATACTATATGCTATATGTCATATGCTATAATCCCCCAGCCCCTACGACCCCAGGCTTCAGACCCCGAAACCCGCACAGGAACCCCGTTCGAAGAATCTGATTCTTGAAATGATCCCTTCAGGGGAGGCCACAACGCCAAACGAAATCCTAAACCCTAAACCGTAAATCCTGAATCGTGCGCCTCCAGGAGGACTTTGGAGAAGCTCTTCAAGTCTGGAGGAGACACGATCTGCCTCGGGTTTGGGGGGTTGGGGGGTTTTCGGGTCCAAGATTGGGGTTTCGGGTTTAAGCAATGGGGTTTAGGATGAGGGACGAGGCTTCAGGAAAAAAGGGTGAAGGTTCGAGGCTGAGGGTCCAGGACTAACGAAGGTTTAGAGGTTTTCAGGGTGTAGGGACAACGGTCAAAGTTTAGCATTGGCCGGGCCGAAAATCGGGTTGGCCTGAGGCTTTGAGGAAATGCGCGAGCCTCGAAGACACAGGAAAAGCAGAAAGCAAAATCACGGCCGAGTTCGATCAAACGAGTTGTGCATCATCGCCTGAGGCTTTCGTGTCCTTGAGGAAACTGCTACAGTAGAAGCCAGAAAGTTGGAATATCATTATCCCAATCCCTTTAAGGTAAAATATAGGGGATCCTGCCATCATTCCATATTCCAACTTTCTGGAGTTCCCTTTAATTCATCGAAGCAACTTGTGCATCGCATAAGCACCAGCGCAACAGATCAGAAGCGCCTCCGAATTTGCATACACTGAGACCAGAATCGCCTCTGTGAAAAGCGTCATGGCCCAAGCTACATAGGATGCCACGGGGCACTTATCAACCTATATTTGCAGCAACACGTCCATGTCACATGTGTCTGTCAGCCAAAAAATGTGCGCAGTCGCATTTCGGATATCGAGCTTCCAAGTTTCCGACACTATCCTTGCATGCTGCTTAGTCGGAGACCACTGACGTGTCATGATTGTCCTGTGCTGCAGCCAGTCATGCGACGTGACGACACAAAAATTCACATGCTCGACACCACTGCACGAGTGAAACACGTTGAAGATGATATGTTGGAGGTTTTTGGCGCACAAATGCATGTTGCATTCATGCTCAAGCCAGGCCAGCATTACAGGTTCCAACTGGTCTTTCAGGCACATAGCTACGCGTGTCCGCTACCCCAGCGCGCAAGCACAACGCACTTCATGAACGCAGGCTTCACTGGCTTGGGCTCTCGGAGCTTGGGCTTCAGGACCTGGCGCGAATTCCGCTGCGCAGGGTTGGGCTTCAGGAGCTTCTGCAAACACTGCACACACCGAACGAAACAAAACCGCTTGGGCTTCCGTTGGCTTCAAGCACTGCACTCTAGGGAATCTCGAGGCTTCACACGGGACCTGGGCTTTGCACTCACAGACAAAACCCTTGCACTGCACTCTGGGGCTGCCCTTCTACAACGCACTCGTCCCTAACACTTGCACGTCTCCACTTCCGCCTTACGGCGATTCTTTTCGTTCGCCCTGGAGCACGGCAAGCTCGGTTCAAGATCCATCTCAGATGCACGGGGAGCGGAAGGTTTGTCCTTTAGCCGTGGACCCTGCCACACCCCAAACCTTGCATCATCACCATGTACACCAGTAAGAGCCGTGTCGAGCCCTTCAAGCTCGCAATCAAGGAACCCTAAACCCAAAACCAAGAACTCCCTTCCAAAGCTCCAGGATCCGTTGACGGGGGCAGATGGAGAATTGCCGGAAGGTGGGGCTTCGCCCACTTGGCGTTGCGGGATCTCCTCACTGCCCACCTCAGCCAGTCGCCGGCAAAAGAGGTAAGAAGATGGCGTCGGTTTAGGGTTTAGGGTTTAGGGTTTAGGGTTTAGGTAGCAGGAGATGGCGGCGTGCTTGCTTCTAAGTGCTACTGCCACCATGGAGAATTTTTTGAATGCACAGGCATGTGCGCAAAAATGACCCCCTTGGTAAACCTCCGAACAATCGCAGGCTCGATGCCCCGATGTTGATAGAACCGCGGTCAGAGGGCTCAAAACAAGCTTGCGGCCAGCGGCCATCCGCTGCAGAGAATATTCAACGCTGATGTCTGTTGAAGCTGCCGGGCATGGTGAGGGCTCCCCCTAAACTAAACCCTCGTTCTCTGCCAGTTCGGATGACCATCTGAGAAGCACGTCTCTCCAGACACAGGCAAGCCTTTGGAGAGCACCAGCACTGCACAGACACAACTTCGAAGTGTCGGCAAAGCTGGCCCTCTCGAAAAGGTGGGAAAATTGCCTGTGGAGGGGTGGATAATGTGGGTCTGTATCGGACAACATGAAACAAACTCGAGACCCTCATTCCCCGTTGCAGACGTACCGAAGTCCCTGACATGGAGACCCACAACTCAAAAGCTCCAGCATGGAGAGACTTCCATGCATCGGATTCGGAGGCTGCCCCGGGGCTGCTAGCACAGCGGCCAGTTTCATCAAAATAAACTTTGGGGCCATCAGCTGCACAAACTTCACGTCTGCTATTTTTTTGAAGCTACCGGACATGGTGAGGGCTCGTTCTCAGCAGAACTGGTAGCGGCCGCGCTGCTTTGCAATGGGGATGAGCTGTACAATGCAGTTACACAGTCACGGGGGTGCCGTCTCATCAGCGTTGGACAGACCTCCGGTTGTCAATTCAAAGGAAAGAAGAAAGTAGTCAAGGCCGCACAGAACGACAAGATCAGCAACGATCACGGTGGGCCTCTGTTCATGTTGGGGGGGTGCCGTCTCATCAGTGTTGGACAGACCTCCGGTTGTCAATTCAAAGGAAAGAAGAAAGTAGTCAAGGCCGCACAGAACGACAAGATCAGCAACGATCACGGTGGGCCTCTGTTCATTCGGTATCGGTGGTCTTTGTCTTGAAATTGAAACGTCTGGATTTTGCTGGCTTCACCTGTCAGGCTTTGCTAAGCACTCGCGGCAATGGAAGCAGGTCAAAAAAGCCTCGACCTTGCAGTGCAGCTCAGACTCCACATCCTAAAGTTCTTCTTTCTTTATGGAACCCTCGTGTCTTTTTCTTCAGGATTTTGCTTTTTGGCAGGATGCCGGCCTGGATTTGCGGCAAGGCTTGCACCTCCAGGGAGGAAATTCAGAGATGCGACGGTTTCCAGCTATCCAGGCGTCAGTTCATATGAGCCTCGTTACAGTCGTCCCCGGTCCCCTCGGTGAGGCGTCTCATTTCCTAGCCTGATGCCCCAGAAACTGCCCCCCTAAACCCTAAACCCCATGCTCTTCCGTGCCTCTGGCACCTGGCTTGGGGCAGCGGCACCCGAGGGTCCTTCGCTAACACGTTGGGGCTTCATGCCAAGTTCTTCTGAGCACGGCTCCCCTCGGCTCGTCTTTCCGGGTATGTCACAGGTGTTACCTTCAATGTGCTTCGTGTGGCACACACCTGACTATCCACTCTGCTGACAACAAGATTCAGAGTCAGCTAGATGAAAGGTATCTGACGGAGTCTTTGCTTCAAAATGCCTTCACCCTCAGAGCTCAACTGAGAAGCCTGTGATATCTTTCGCGCGAAAATGGCTCCGCCTGACCTGCAACACCTCGTGCTAGCTAACCCACCTGGTGCAGGTAGAGGGCTCTTGGAGTCAGGTGGAGCGGCCTGCCCGTAGCTTGTAGGAGGTCCAGTTTTGGGGCGTCAAGCTTAGGGTTTGGGGTGTCGTGTGCAGAGTTGGTTTGTCTTGGCTTGTTGCCACAGCTGATACATGGGTTCGATGCGTTTATGGCGAACACCTCGGCAGCCGCCTGGTCTCCGTCTCTGTGGGAATCTGAAGCATGTTCAACACCTCCGAGGCAGCCACATTCGCATTGAAAGAGCACTCAAGATTATGGAATCGAGTACGCCTTGTGTCTTTCCAGCAACCAAAAGACGCACAAACATTCACTGAAAAAGGACAATCTTGAGGCTATGTATTATTACTGCAGCATTTACATTACTGGGACTCCTAATAATCTTGTTGGCAGGTGTTACAAAGTGCTGGAAAGTAGTGCAAAGCATTATCAAACCCTGGTAGCATTGAGTCCAGAAGATCAGACCCTTGGGATGGCGAATTTTGCGAAAATAGGGGTACTTTATTTTTGGGTCCATATATAAGGATCCTACTATTCAGGGTACTATAGTAGGGTCCCCTATATTCTGAATTGAAGCGGATCCCGCAGAACAAAGCAGAGCATGTCAGCTGCCGCGCAGGACCCACAGCGCGAAACGGCAAGCACAGACCCTGCACCATTGGCACCAACTCGAAGGAAGACCGAAAAAAAGGGCCCTTGAGTTCTTCAGGGGAGCAAGGGCCTGTTAGCTTTCTCTGATCTCTTCTCTAGCCCCTCTCTTCGACTGTGCCTGGCGAAGATGGGGTCCGCGAAACCAGAACAGAAACATCTCGCAGATCCTTGCCAGATTCTGAAGGGGAGGCTTAAAGGGTCCTGCGCTTCAGGAAAGCCACCCTTTCAGTCTGCTTACCCTTGGTTAGTAGGGAATGGAGGAATGGGGTACAATTATAACTACTACCGCTACCATTCTTCCATTCCCTACTAACCAAAGGCAAAGAAAGCCACCCTTTCAATCTTTCAGTCGGCTTGGACATTTCAATGCGGGCCCATGGTGTCAAGGTTCCCGTCCTGCATCCCCACTAAATCAACTCACTGCAGTAGCCGTTTCAAACGGGATATATTTGGAACATAAGCTTTTTCGAAGGTATACATACATACATATGTATGTTTATACCTTATATGTACATATATGTATGAAGATAGAACACGTCTTATATACATGTACTATTGATCTATTCATTCATGCACTTACTTGTTTGATTTATGTGCTTGCGTAATTTACTTGTTTGTGTTTATTTATTTGTTTAATTACTTATCTCTTTATATGTGTATATATATATGTATATATACCCCCCCCTCCCCCCCCCAAAGGTCAATGGTCCGGATATAGGGTGGGGCCCCCCCCCTCCCCTGTGGTGTGGGGTGTGGGGTTCCTCTTCCCCCTGTGGGTGGTTGTGGGGTTTTGGGGTTTAGGGTTTAGCTTAAGCTTGTGAGTTTGGGTTTACGGTTACAAGGTATAAGGCTTCGAGTCGACAAGGGCTTAGGGAGGAATGCTCTGCTTTAGGCTTAGAGCCTGCAGTTAGGTGGGGTTTAGGGTCGGGTGTAGCGTTTTAAGTACAAGTTAAGGTTGCTCAAAACAGGGGCATGCGCTGCGTTATAGGGTTTACGGCTTGCTTGCGAAGGGCTTGCGCGTGAGCCCTGGCCGCCAGCACCACCCCACCATCCGGTGGCAGCTCCAACGGCCCCCAACCCCTTTCCGCACACGCCAGCCCCCATCAGACCATACCATGGGGGGGGGGGGGGGGGCTGGGAACGCCAGACGCCTGACCATATATACCTGTTCATTGGTTTACTTACTTACTTACATACTTATGTATTTGTTTGCTTAGTTATTCTTTATTTACTGATTTATTCATTTATGTATTTATCTATGTATTTATTTCTTTGTTTCTGTGTGTGTTACTTGTTCTTCATTCACTCATCTATTCATGTATGTAAATATGTATGTAAATATGTATGTAAGTGCATATGTATGTACGTATATGGTCAGAGGTGTCTGACCTCCAAGCCCATGGTTTGGTCTCGCTGTCGTCGACTTTAGCCATTCGGAGTGCACCATCTTCATGACTGTCGTCACTTTGGAGTTAGGGTTTAGGGTTTAGGGTATAGGGCCCGGTCTGACTCACTGTACAAGATTCCAAAGATGCCGACAGTTACAGGAATGGGCCAAGTTGGGTGTTCGAACGTTTCTGATATCCCACCAGGAGTTTAGCTTCTGTCTTATGTGTGGAAAACCTCAGAAACACAGAGGGGCAGGGCCACCCGCCCACGGAGAAGGAGGCCGAGATCATGGGCAGGGCAGGGCGTGGGGCGGCGGTGGGGGGAGGGCCAGGTTAAGGGTTTAGGGTTTGGTAGGGTTTAGAGTTTAGGCTTTCGGGTTTAGGATTGGTAAACAATCAGCATGAACAGCACAAGCAACAAAGGTGGAACGCGTAATCTACATGAATTTCATATAAAGGGATTGACGGCTTTGTTACAAAGAGCAAGGATCGTTCCTCGAGCCTGGCCTACTTTAGCCAGGTTGCAATATGAGTCTCCTCGGGATTGGCCTCCGTGGACGCTTGACCTCCAAGATTGTCAGACGTGATGCTGACAACCTAATATATATATATATATATATATATACATATATAATATATGTTTGTTACATGTTTATTCCTTATTTGTTCAATTACTTATTTATTTACCTATTTAGCTATTTATCTATTCTGTAGCTGTGTATTTCGCTGTTTTTGTTTATGTAATAGTTTAACTACTTATGTATCTACCTATGTTTTTGTATTGCTTGCCATGAATGATGTGACCGTTGTCAGCATACGAAGAAGCACGCCTAAGAGTGGCAGCTCGGGGTTCTCGTTGCCGGCGTCATCCAGGCTTGCCGAGACCTCAGGTTGTTATTGTTATTACTATTACTATTAGGGTTTAGGGTTTAGGTTTTTTTCTTTGAACCCTCTTTTTCGTCTGCCCCTAAGGTTAGTTGGAACACCAGCATGGCGGAGGGAATGTACAGGAGGCCATGACCAGAAAGGGGGATTCAGGGTTTAGGGTTTAGGGTTTAGGGAGGGCCTGTTTCCAGCTGCAGTACAGTCGGAGAGCTCCAATGGAGCAGGCAACAGGTTTAGGGTTTAGGGTTTAGGTTTTAAGTGCATTCAAGGCATACATCGAAACAACGATCAGCATTGCAACCTGTTGCTTGTGGTCTCTAGGAATTGGTGCGTGTGAGTCATGTGTAAGCAAACAGTTTAAGACTCAATATGGGACGCAGATCAGGTATTTCCAAGCAGCCCGGAACGATGCTTCCGCATGATCTTGCTCTGTCCGACTGCTCAGGCCACCTACCTGGGTCCATATTCTTATCAACATGCTGGCCCGATATTCTAGACAACTGCACAGACGAAAGTGCCCCTGACATAGCTTCAGAAGCACATCATATCAGCATTTTATTTCGACGTCCCCAAGTTGTCGGGGCTCGTCTACATCAATAATCCGAGTGTTAGTCAGAGGCTTCACGCACAGGGGTCGCGGGAAGTTAACAAGGAAACTTAAGTCCAAGACTGCTGGAGCCTTTCTTCAGTCTGGGCCCCAGAATTGACACAACTGACGTGCATCTGGAGCATGGTTCTATTCGAACTTGCTGCAGGTCGAGAGGCGCTTTGTCGAAATATGCTGGATGCGGAATTTACCAACTCAATCGCTGCTTGTTTCGATAGCGCACCAAACAGCGTCAAGGCGTTGGTGAAATCATCCGCGTATAATCGCCAAACCTGTTCTGTCTTTGCTGACAATACCCCTAGTTCTGATATCCAAAGGGCTTGAAGCATAGAATTGGTCACTCCAAGGGGTAGCGCACGGTACGTGGCGGCCAGTGCGGAGAAGACAATAAAGTTGGGGATTGTCTTCCCGTGACAGTGCCCCCACCAGAAGGTCAAGAACTCTCGGTATGCATTGTTAATATCCTGGCGCTGGATCGAGACGTCGAAGCGGAGAATTTTGCCTGACACTCTGCTCATCTGCATCAATGTCCAACCTCAGGTCAGACAGAATGGCAAGGCTTTCGTTTGCATGAGTCCCCGCTTCTGAGGACGATTTGGGATTTCCTGCCAAGAACGCCTATTCTGATTGCTATTGTTGCTATTGCTATTGTTGTTATGATTACTTTTATTGTTATTATTGTTACGATTGATTATTGTTATTCGTAGTCAAAAATCAACTGCCCTGATGTCTTTGGAGTTGGGGTTCCGTCTGCCGGGAACACCCCCCCGGGCTGTGAAGTATCTGTTACTACATGATTACTATCAGTATAATGAGAAACATAATGATTATGATTATGATTGTTACTATTATCATTATTACTGTTATTGTTATTACTATTACTATTCTGGTTGTTATTGTTGCTATTACTACTGTTGTTATGACTACTTTTGTTGTTATTATTATTACGATTATTCTTCTTCTTCTTAGCAGCAGCAGCAGCAGCAGCAGCAGCAGCAGCAGCAGGAGGAGGAGGAGGAGTAGTAGTAGTAGTAGTAGTTAGTCAGTTAGTTAGTTAGCTAGCTAGGTAGGTAGTTAGTTAGTTAGCGAGTGAGTTAGTTAGTCAGTTAGTTACTAGGTAGCAGGTAGTGGGTAGTGGGTAGTAAGTAGTAGGTAGGTAGTAGATAATGTAGATAGTTGGTAGCAGGTAGTAGATAGTACGTAGTATGTACAAGTAGGTAAGAGGTAGGAGGTAGTAGGTAGTTGGTAGTAGGTAGTAGGTAGTAGGTAGCAGGCAGTAGGTAGTAGGTAGTAGGTAGTAGGCAGTAGGCAGTAAGTAGTTAGTAGTAGCAGTAGCTCTAGTAATATAGTAGTAGTGGCAGCAGCAGCGTTCATCCAGAACCGTCTTGGGATGCCTGTGGCATTGATCAACCCAAGTTGGGCCAGGCAGCTGCGATGTACCAACTCACTTGACCTCGGACTTTCAACAGACACGGTTTTAAAGCTGGAGACAAGCTGGACAGTTGAGGCATAAGAAAGACCCGTTAATGGGATTGGAAAGGGATTTTTTCGACCAACTCCCGCCTGGTGTGCTCTTTGGGGCATTCCCAGCGCACGGACCATGAGTATACCAGCCGCTTGGCCGGCTGAAAAACCGGAATCAACAGCTCAACCTCGACTTCGGCAATATGGCAGCTTCTCCGATAGGGCGGGCTTCCCTTCCCGGGATCCCGGGATTATGTAAGCGAAGTAGACAGCGGTTGGTTGGATGTCGTCGCAAAGCTCAAAACCCCCACAGAGAGATACACTTGCAAGTCTACAGTATCGAATTTCCCAGTCACACCTGGTATTGGTAGTAATAGTAGTAATAGTAGTAATAGTAGTAATAGCAGCAATAGTAGTAATAGTAGTGATAGTAGTAATAGTAGTAATAGTAATAATAATAGGGGAAAGCCATCAAAAAAAAAAAAAATTTCAATCAAAAAAACTTTCAGCGAAAATCAAAAAAAACTTTTCACCAATCAAAAAAAACCTTTTTCCAATCAAAAAAAACTTTCTCCATGTGTAGTAGTAGTAGTAGTAGCAGTAGTAGTAGTAGTAGTAGCAGCAGTAGTAGTAGTAATAGTAATAGTAATAGTAATAGTAATAGTAATAGTAATAGTAATAGTAATAGTAATAGTAATAGTAATAGTAATAGTAATAGTAAGTAATAGTAATAGTAATAGTAATAGTAATAGTAATAGTAATAGTAATAGTAATAGTAATAGTAATAGTAATAGTAATAGTAATAGTAATAGTAATTGTAGTAATAGTAATAGTAATAGTAATAGTAATAGTAATAGTAATAGTAATAGTAATAGCAGTAGCAGTAGCAGTAGTAGTAGTAGTACGAGTAGTAGTAGTACTAGAAGAAGTAGTAGTAGTAGTAGTAGTAGTAGTAGTAGTAGTAGTAGTAGTAGTAGTAGTAGTAGTAGTAGTAGTAGTAGTAGTAGTAGTAGTAGTAGTAGTAGTAGTAGTAGTAGTAGTAGTAGTAGTAGTAGTAGTAGTAGTAGTAGTAGTAGGAGGAGGAGGAGGAGGAGTAGTAGTAGTCGTCGTCGTAGTAGTAGCCGTCGTAGTAGTAGTACTACGGTGGATGGACAAAATCCTGCATTACCCATAATAAGGAATATACCATAATTCCCATAGTGTAGGGTCCTTAGGGTAATGCAGGATTTTGTAGTAGTAGTAGTTGTTGTTGTTGTTGTTGTACCTTCCTTCCTGCCTTCCTTCCTGTCTGCCTGCCTGCCTTCCTTCCTTGCTGCCTTGCTTCCTTCCTTGCTTCCTGCCTTCATTCCTTCCCTTCTTCCTTCCTTCCTGCCTTCCCTCTGTCTGCCTGCCTGCCTGCCTTCCTTCCTTGCTGCCTTGCTTCCTTCCTTGCTTCCTGCCTTCCTTGCTTTCTTCCTTCCTTCCTTCCTTCCTCGCCCTTTCTCCCCGCCTTCCTTGCTTCCTTCCTTCCTTCCTGCCTTCCCTCCTTCCTTCCTTCCTTCCTTCCTGTCGTGCTTCCTTTAATAAGGGAAAGTTTTTTTTGATTGGAAAAAAGTTTTTTTTTGATTGAAAAAAAAGTTTTTTTTGATTGGCATCCCATAATAATAGCCCGGCTCTGGAAGTCCTCAACCAGAAGGTTCACGCCTGGCGCCTCCTTTTCCAGCCAGGTGGCGACCTTTTGCTTCAGCTTTCGAAGGAAACCTGGTCTTGTGTTTGGGGTTTAGGGTTTAGGGTTTAGGGTTTAGGGTACCTGGTCTTGTAAAGTGCGACGACAGGAAGAATCGAATCACGGAAGTCGGAAGCTAAACGGATAACGTACTTATCTTTTCAGTAACTCTTGGGCGTTGGGGTCCACATCCGAATCTGGAGCTCACTGCCGACTAGGCGATATCTCCGATTGGGCTACTTGGGCGAAGGTTTAGCTCATGTTCCTCCAGACTGACGGGTGCCACAGGAGATGCAAAAGCTGCAGAAACTACACCTGAACCGATCACCAGGCGAGGAACCAACCGACTCCATGCGCTCGTGGCTCGTCTCAGAGACGTTCACTCTGATAGCATCCTGCAGTGACCAACCCAGGAACTCAAACCAACAGCATCCAACAGCGTTGCGGTTGCCCAGACTCCACCCCCACGGCTTGTATCACTACTGTTATTGTTATTATACTACTCTTTACTATCATTATTGCTACTCTTAAGATCATTACTATGAGTACTGTTGCTAGTCTCATTATTCTTGGTATTACTGTTGCCACTACTAGATCCACCGCTGCTGCGCTCCTTGTCCCTGCTACCCGCTGCTGCAACCTCCATTTCAGAAGCCGCGCCCCGCAGGAATTGTGCAAGGATATGCATCGAAGAGTAGGCAATGGTGAAGAAGATCCTTACTTAGACTTAAACAACAAAACTTTCAGATGTTATCTCGTTGGTATAATGTAAGTAGGTTCTTTCATGAACAAAACATCAAAACATGTCCGATGTCTGCTCAGGGTCATTGTCAGCAGAAGGACTGCCCAAATCCATACCAGCTCTGCTGCTGGGAAAAAGATGAGAAGCACCGCGATTGCACTGAATAGAATGAAGCGACTTGCTAACAGGACGGATTCAAGAACATCCAGGCTCTGAGACTGGCTGTTTGCATAAGGTCGGACCCAAGTGGACAAACCAAGCTGCATGCCAGAAAGCACAGGAAACAAGAGCAGTTTCGCGTTGTCGTCATCGGCAAACGAAGTGTAAGCAGTCAAAACCATCAAGCCGATATCAGCCCGCTTGACAATTAGATCCCAGTACCAATACCGCGGAGACAATCCCTGAATGAAGAATCCATAGAGTCTGTAATTTGCCGGGTCATGCCTGTCCGGGAGCATCCATATCCTGAGGAACAGGAGCAGAGGAAGCCCCAAACACCAAAGGAGCAGCCCCATAGCAGCAACTGCAATGAAGGGGGTGTGATCCGGAGACCAGCATTCCACATCAGGAAATGGAAGCAGGCGCGCCACGTAGTCCTGCTGCCCATCTCTCTCCTCCTGCCTAGTTCATCGTTGGGATAGTGTTTAAACATGTTTAAACCTTCAAAATATTTTGCTTATCTGAAAATGTAACATGTTAAGCAACTATGACCCAGCTGCATGGGTGAGCAACGGATCATTTGTAGGAACTTGGACAAGAGCTCCGGCCAAAGCGAAAGCTGGGTCAGCCAGATTGCGGGCGCACTCTGTTTCAGGAGCTGCTTTAAGGAAGCATAGGGACTGAAAAGACCAAAGTTCAACTTCGATGCATCAGAAGCAGCCTTCCGTCTCAACTGCTCGCATGCTTGATGTAAGAAATCGTCGCAGATGCCTCCACCTTTCTCGAGCATGCCCTTAAGCTGCATGCAGTCTGCTGCTTTCAGAGCCACGGCGGTTGCCATCTCTTCCAGTGGCATGCTTTCACGGTCGACGAATGCCTTGAATTGGCCTCGACAGGAGGAGCGCTGGGAGAATTTGCAAGGTTTAGCGTGGGGATTAAGTCGCAGACTACCATTCCGACAGGGGTCTTTTGTGTCACAACCCAACTGGTTTCGCTCATATCCGGCACCTCGCAATTTCCAGGCAGCGGCACCAAGGACCATACGCCGAAGAGCAGGTAAGGCCACCTCGCCATCTGCGGCCTCCAGCGCATCAAGGGACTTGCAGGCACGAAAGCACCCAACCGCAAGGTCCGAAGGGTCAAGATTCGGCTGAGGGACATTTTTCAACGTGGGCAGCGCGATGCCCTCCGTCAGCACCTCCCATGGAGCCTCAGTGAGTATCTGTGGACTCTTTGAACTATTGTTAAACTCATACTCCAGAGAGCTTCCAACGCAAGCATGGAGGCGTTTCGAAGGTGCAGGAGCTACTTGCAACCCTAAACCCTAGACCCTTACTGTGTCAGCACTCGCAGCCGGCCTCCCAGTCCGCCTGAACAATGAATCCTCAGCGTTCGGTATCTTAATCTCAACATGCAGCAGATTTTTTATAATACCTATGATGACTATTATTAGAATTATGATTACTATTATTATGATTATTGTTGTTATTGTTGTGTATTATTCTTTATTCTACTTTGGGTGCGGACTAGCGAATGGGGGCTATGCAGCTTTCGGACAGAAGATCTCATAACGTCGTTTGTCGCCCACTGCCTAGACCAGGAAACCTTTCTCAAGACCAAACACTTCAAACCAGAGACTCAAGATCACTCAAAGTGGCCGCTAGATATCTCCGAAACGCAGCTTGACAAATCCGAGCCGGGATCTGCATTAGCTTCCTCCACGTTCGACACGGCACATTGAGCCAAGTTCTTCCGCTTCGCTCGCTCCCGAGCGCAATCATTGAATTCAACCCCGAGTCTGTTGCCAACTGGCACGACGACGTAAACAGCAACAGCGCACACCAAAAGTGTGCCCACCAAGGTCAGAATCGGCAAAAAGAGGTAGTATAAGCTCGGCACCAGCCTCTGCATTCCCTTGTTGCCTTTGTACCATGACTGCGCTTCACATGCGGCGGCGAACTCCACGTTCACCTCGGCTCAGCTCAACCTTCTACGCATGCATAACAATAACTATTGGTGTTACTATTCTTGTTAGGCCATGTCCACTTCGTCTTAGTTCTCCTGAACAGGGTAGGTTTTGGGCTTAGGATTTAGGTTTTTGCCTGCCCAAGGTACTTTGAGATTCTGGCGGCTAAAGACGAACCCCTATAGTACCCTTTAACGGAACCCTATGATAGATCCCTTAAAGGAACCCCTATAGTACCAGCCTTGGGCATGATGGAGATCAGGGAGAGGAGCGTCTCCAAAGCTTGAGTGGCTTCTGTGGGCCATGGGAAGCTCAGGAGACGGCCTTGGAACTTCATCGAACTCTTTTGGGGAGCGACCTTATGCAACTGCATACAACTTCCCATGCCACAAGACGAGCTGTCAGAAGGCACTGTGAGCAGCCCAGCAGGTAATGCATTGGTTTGCTTGCGAGGAGTTGCACGGCTAGAAGTGTCCAGAAATACCAGTTGACAGCGGACGTACGAAGATTTAGGTGTGCAGAGAGAACTGTGTGCCCTTTAACTCCTCTAACCTACTATCCCATGGACTCATGAACCTGGCCGGCACCTCCCCTTTACAGCAGTTTCTCTTCAGAATGTGGGATTTGCCCGACCTGCTGCAGCCTTGCTTTGTGGATGTTGTCTAAGGGGGGGTGGCCGTGGGAGTTGGAGGGCCTTGTCGCTTAAGGATCTCAAGTTGGTCGGTGCTGGGGATGTGGACATCGTTTGGGATGGACATGCGCAGACACATGCGAACATGTCGCAGCAGCGACTCACAGCAAGTCTCAGCTTCTAGTAAGTAATGTCTGAGAAGCAGCCAGGCCACACGATGCACCGGAGCAAGCTTGGTCTGCATCTGCATCCGCCGCTCTCACCGACCAGCTGAAGGGGTGTAGGCGGTCGAGATCAAAGTCCGTAAGCACGGAGCACGCATCCTTGAATCGCAGAAGCATTCGGATCATGGGAGAATGAAGATTAAAGCTCACCTTCCCGGCTGATCTTGCGGAAAAGGCTGCCATTGCAAAGTTCAAAAGAGCAATCCTGCCCGTGTCCGCCGCAATGGCAAGTGCGAGCCACATCGAGCTCTGACTCATGCAATCTTGGCAGGGCCGGAGGTACGCCCATCTGGCTTTGCCTTCTGCACACTCCCCACAAAGCCAGCCTGTGGAGCCTTCCTCGCACTCGTTGGAATGCTGACATTGCGGAGACTCTGGCTCCTCCCGGCACCGGTCCGAACCTCCCCGGCAAACGCTCTCATTCTGCGACAGAAAGACCATGCACCTGACAGCCGAGGTCTGGCCAGTCATGAAATATCCTGGGATGGCTCGTGGCTGGGCATGCTTCCCATCCTCGTCCCACTCACCGGGGCAGGTCAACCCGCCGTAGGCTGCGCATGACATGCACTGCTGCAAGGTCTGATCGCCGGTCAACCACGCATGGTGACCGGGCTTGCAGAAGCAGCTTGATTGAGAGGTCGAAGCGGCATAGCTGTCAGCATTCACGGGGCATCTCTGAGAGCAAAGAGCGTTGCTTTGGCTTTCTTTGTAAAAAGACCGTGGACAAGGCACGCAACCCGATTCTTCACGCTGGTAGCCTGCATCACAGAGGCAGGAGGCATTTGTCCGCGATCCCATCGACTCTGTTGTTGAGTGGTCTGGGCAGCGAGCTGCCGTCCCAGATCCGTCACAAAAAGAGCCCATCGGGCAGAGGTTGCAGCTGCCACCTTGCTCGAAAAGCCCGGACTGGCACGTGCACTCTTCCGAGGAGACGGCCCCTGATGCTGAGGTTGATCTCCCCTCATCACACGGTGCGCACTCTGTGTTTGCAAGATCTGATTTGTAGAATCCCTTCGGGCAAGGAAAGCACGCTTGCACAGTTGGATCGTAACGAAAACCTGGCTTGCATTCGCAGCCGCTCTCCGTCAGCAGTACCACACCTGGTGGCACAGCAGCGTTCGGCGAGCAAGCTACAGTGAAGGGCGACACTTCGGGACCAGCTTCCGTTGAGTTGACATCTACACCAAGATTGCTTAGCCGAGCACGGGCATCATCAAGGACCACGTCCATCATGTCCGGGTCCAGCTCTTGTGCTGATAAAGTTGCTAGTGCCCAAGAAAGATGCTTCAGAACGACGCCAACGGTCTGGCTGACACGCTCTGTCGACAGGCGCCGAGCCCGGGGCTGTGCAAGCAGCACCACATTGTCGGGGTCAATGTTTGTGGACTCTGATATGCTCCGGCGTAGTGTAGACATCGTCAGGTGATCCAGGCTGCTTGACGAAGAGAGCAAGAGACTAAAGGTAACAGTCGGGATTTCTGACTGATTTTCAAACTGCAGCTCCGAGCTGACGTTGGCTTGAGAGCAGGAGCTGTTTGAAACGGAGCCCTCGAGATGGGTGTCCGTTCCGCTTGGACATGCTGAGCATTCGAAGTTACCGGCTTCTGACTTGTAGGTGCCTTTGCTACAGGGGGTGCAGCTTCCAGAGAAATCGAAGAATCCATGGGAACACACGCATTCTGAACGTTCGGAAGAATGCCGACTGATCGTAGTCTGACGATCCGGGCAGTGCACTCTCGTCGCAAGCTCGCCCCCACCGCAATAAAACCCCCTGCCGCAGGCCATGCACCTGCCAGCCATCAAGAAAAATCCTCTCGGACATTCCAGCTGCAAGGTGCCAGCCTCGGCTCTGAACGAAGTCAGTGCTTCACAGGATGCTTCAGCAGGGCACCAGCAAATCTTATAGGTCCCTGGGACAGCACGGGAAGGAATCTTGCCGACATCCGCATGCCAAACATCCCCCTCCCGTCTCAGCCGGATGGGCTCTTTGGGAGTGCTGTAGCCCTGCAAGCTGACGAAGTCACCCACCAATGCGTCGCACCCTGACTGCTTTGTCAATGCCAGCTTGTCATTGACAGCCAGGCCGGTCCCTGACAGTTGCAGTGTGCAAGTGCTGCCCAGCACACAGGTGTTCATCTGTGAGAAGGGACCATTGACTGTCAGAAGGCCTACAGGCGCGGCAAAGGCTGCAGGTTCACTGCATGCTCCGATTTCCGAGCCTTCCCTGCAAAAGCAAAGGCGGTATATCCCCACTCGAGGCTGCAGAACTTCCCCGTCGGTGCCCAAGAGCTCGAAGCCACCATCATCCTTACTGGAATGGAGCAGCAACATGTGAGAATGAAACCACTGGATTCAGCGGCAGCGCACTTTCCATGTTAGTGTCCGAAAACCGAAACATACAGCCTGCCTAGCAAAGCAGAAGTCACTCGCCCACAGCTTCGTGCAGGCCAAGTAGCGACGGCCTTGGCAATGCCTCCACCAGGAAAGCCGGGCACTGCCTGACCGGTGCCACAACCGGCCAAAATCATGATCCTGTCCTCCAAGCTTGCGCGAACAGACTGAACAGCGCCAAGAGAGCAGCGCTGCCCAACAGAGCAGCTGATCTCTTGGTTCGCTAGAGGTCCCTGTACACGCAGCTTGCCGAAAGGAACTGAAAAGTCTTCTGCGTTGCAGCTGTCGCGTCCACACCAGCAAAGGTCATGTCCAGCTTCGTTAGCATTAGCGGATATTCGGAGATCGACTCCCTGCTGCAGGTTAGACTCCCCGAAAGACAAAACGAGGCTGGACGTGCCGGGACTGCCAGGAGTCAGGCTGGCAATACCATTCAGATTGCTGGGGGAAATCTGCTGGAACGCTACCGATCCGCAACCGGCGCTCCGCAACACCACCTGGTCACTGGAGGACAAGCCCACACCATCCAGCGGCTGGAGATCTGTGCAATCTCTGCCGCGCACACACCAAAAGGAATGCGCACTCGAAGGCCCACGGACCTGGAATTGCGGCAGCAACGGGTCACCCCTCTGGTGAGGATACGCAACCGAAAACTGCATCAACTACTGAAACACTGAACCAGGCCCTGGAAGCAGCCGAAGCTGTCTCAGATCTATCCTTGACTCCCGTCACAAGACCAACGTGCGACTCAGGAGAAGAAATCTCCTCTTCCTCCTCCTCCTCATCATCATCATCATCAGCAGGATGGTGCTCGTTGTCGTAATCATTAACGAGTTTCTTCAGCTGGTACTGATGATATTGATGGCAGGGCAAGAGGCAATAAAAAGCACTAGCAACAACAAACGCAGAGCTAGCCTGAGCATTGAAACAATGGGGCCCAAGACAAAGAAGACAAAAAAAAGACTGCAGAAGAACGCTGGTACATCATGATATGGGTAGGGAGACGTCGGATACACACGGAAACCTCGGAAAGCTCGCCGATCTCCCAGCCTGTAGTCGGCCAACGGCCATCTGGAACAGCTGCAAGCTGTCACAAACAATTCCGTTGATGTTGGCACACCAGCAGACCTGGAAAGCGCTTTCTGCTGCATGAAGACCTACGCCCCTTAAACCTTGCCTAAGACCATCACTAACACTGCCCCGCCTGGTAGGAGCCGCCCTCCGGTGCAAAATCGGAGCCACTGCTTCCCCAGGTGTACACACCCTGGCTGGCATCTCCTGAAGCTCCCTCATTGGGAAGGTTGGGTACAGTCCGGAGGGCGCCCTGACAACTGTCAGACTCTGTCAGTGCCACACGATGTCCGTCTTGCAGATTGTACCCGCTGATTGTCACAGAGCAAGGAATGCCAGATGTGCATTGAAGATCTTGCCCGTCCTGTGGGCGAATGCACATGCCTGCATCTGTGGATCCCACCCCCTGTGTAGTGGAACCTGGAAAATCAGAGCTGCACTCATAGCACGTGTTCGGTATCTTGGTGAAGGTGCCCACGGGGCATGGTTCGCATGATCCGTCGTCTGCAATGTAGAGGCCAGCTTCACACGAAACCTGCATCAAGTTGCATCTTTACATGTTTGTGCGACTACAAAACCGAAGCCCCGCTAGGGACGGTTTAGAGTCTGGAGAAGCAAGGATTGCTGAGCAATGGGATGATGAAGAGGGAGCCCGTGCTGGAATCTGGAATCATGTCGCCCGGACAGGCATTCCTCCCAAGGTGGGGTCACTCCAAATGAAGTTCCTTGTAGGTTTGAGGATTTGAGGAGCCATCAGTGCCTCTGCAACGACAAGACCGCAACACCTACAGAAGGACCAAGTGCACACTGGCAGTTCCAGATTTGCTCACCTCTGTACACCACCAGGCCTTGGGAGTCAGGACATGGAGGTCATTCATCCAGTTGCCTCACAACGCGACAGAAACGCAGACGCACCTCTGTTATCTAAGCAGAGCCTGCTCCAAACACCATTACTGCCAGGGCCCCTGCTGAAACGGTTTTCTCCACCGAAGACGTACAGAGATTCGATGCTGTCTGCCCAAGCCACTCCATGAAACCTGCCCTGGTCAGGACCTTCGCCAGAAGGCGACAGCTGATACCACCTGTTTACCTGGCCGCAGGGACTCCAGACCAGTCTGGACATTGAGATTGCCATGTTAGACTGTTAGACGTTTTTCGAGAGCCAGAAAAAAGCATGCAGTAATACAAGCTCGCTAGTGTGATGCACTCTTTTTGGGGGGGTGCCGTCTCGCTTCGTGACTTAGTGGCCTTGCTGGTACAATGCTGCATTCAAGGTCAAGTGATGCATGGCCCTGTGCACTCTGAAGACTCCGATACAGCATGCGCTGGGGGACATGTTCAACAACATGTCTCCCATGCCTGGCGGCTGTAGAGGTAAAGGTCGTTGTGTTTTCCGGCATAGTTCTCCCCGCCAAACACGTACAGCCCGTCAGGCGTCTCGGCCCAGACAGCTCCATGATCTACGCGGGCGCTGGGTGCAGCACCAGCTGCAGTGACCAGCTGCCACTCATTGGCCTTCTGTCAGCTTGCCAAGCAAAGCTTAGAACTTCATGACAAGAGAACCATTCTCTCGGTTTTGTAGAAAAATCTTGATGCGTCGAATGAATGCAGTGTGCTTTTAAGCATCGGCCTCGTGGTGCTGCATGTTCTGAAGAATAGGAGACTTGAAATCAACATCCCTGCTCCTCTACATCATCCACCTTCGACGCAAATTGTGCCAGCCAGGGTAACAGATGCTGAACCCATGCATACAAAACGAGTTGGTCCTTCAACACAGGAATAAATACAAAATAAGCTATAAACATCAGTACATCCTGAGCTTTCACCAACTTGCGTTTGTTCTGTCAATTCTTGACCATTCTCGCCTTAGACCGCACCGAGCGCATGAATCGTGCAAACGACATGTTCTAGGCCTGTCGACTGTAGAAGAAGAGGTCCCCCAAGTGACCTCAGCTTCAGCAAGATCAGAAGCTCCGGCTGAGGAGCGATATCTCAAGGCCCCAAGGCCATGACCCCCCGGTCTCCAGCCCCCGAGGCCGTAGAACCCATACGCAGCTTCACTCCAACCACCCTGGAAACCGCAGCATTCTGGTGCTGTGCCGGTGGGGGCCAGGTGCTGCCAGTTGTTCGCCTCACGGAGGCGCGCTGTACTTTCTCGTCATGGGAAGCCAGAGACTCCAATATCCCTTAATAAAGGAATATTCCCTACATTGTAATAGGGATCTTTAATAACGGACCCTTCACTAAGGAATATTGGAGCCTCTGGGAAGGAGTCAGGCTTCGTCTCGTCTCCGTTGCATTTGCTTTTTCCTTTTGCTGCCTTTGTTCGTCCTTCACTTCTTCTTGTTCCTCGGTCTCTGCATTTAACCTTCTCTTCTTATCCTTGCGCTTCATCTACATCAGCATCTTCTCCTCCACGCTTGCATTGCTAGTCTCCTTCCTCTAGCTATCTCATTCAACTACTGCAACATGGGCTTACCATGACAGAGCAGCAGATGAAGCCATTGTATGAGGCTTGGCAGGCCTGTGGGCTGTAGAAGTGGACATTCTCCAGCACTCCTGGCACTGCGCACTCTCTCCCCTGCGAGACAAACCGAAAAAAGGGCCGTGCCGGAGGTGCCCCAAGCTGTACCAGAGATGATGTAGAGGCCCCCGTCGGCCTTGCTCCAAGCCATCCCTTGGTTGGAGTTCTTCACGGGACGATCACCAGAAGGCGACAGCGCTTGCCAAGCGTTTGCCTTGCAAGCTGTCAGTGCTGGTACGCTGTGCTTTTTTTCTTCCAACCGAATAGCTGTTGCGTTCGGTCTTGCAAAGTTACAAACAGCTGGATGAACGACCCGGCCTGGCGGCTGTAGACATGTAGATCGCTATGCCAACCTCCAGCATTGCAACCCACACACTCAGCATCAGCCGGAATCGAGCTGGGACCGTTACAAACTGCGTAGATCTCATCAGCTTCATTGCTCGTAGCACGACATCCATCAGCGTCAGTCAGGCCGATGGAAGCGAGCTCCTGCCACGCATTCGCCTTGCAGCACAATCCAGTGTTTTGCTCCTTCGCAGTTTTCACACTTGTGAACAGAGAGTTTAGTAGTGGCATCTCCCTGCGGCCTCGGGATCATAGAAGTGGAGATCTTTAAAGCGGCCTCATTCTTCTCTGCGCAGCACGACAACGACTGAACAATATGAGGCCCTGGCCACTGCCGTCGAGGCCGGCAAACATATACAGCCCGTTATGGGCCGTGCTCCATACGGCGGATCCACATTGTTGGATTGAGCGAGGCTCAGGAATAGTACCACCACCGCTGAGCGGCCGCCATTCGTTGGCAGATAGTCTTCGCTTTGCAGCCTGAGGCTTGTGCAGCATGAGGAACAGCTGGGAGGATGCTTAGATTGTCCAGGATTCGGGGGTTGCAAGGCTACAGAGCGACCATCATAAGTGAGTCCATCAAGCACATTCCGCTGGGGCCAGCTGAGGGCAGCGTAGTGAAGCTTGCCAGCTATCCGGAGGCATGTAAGCATGGAAAAACTCACATCATGACGTCTTCATGCATGAATGTCTCCAGGTTCTTGACAAACTCTCAGAGCGTGGATAAAACCTTACCTGGGTGCATGAATCATGAATCTCGTTTGCTATTGCTTGGGTCTTGTTCGAGTAGCCCGCTTGCGCAGGCCTGTGGCCAGAATGACAATTTACTCTTTGCCAACTTTCTGCCACTCTTCCGCTTCCATCTCCTGCTGCGACGTTCCCTCTCGTGCTGCGAGTGCCATCCCTGTACCCACCACTTGTCTGTGGTACCCCGGCGATGCACGCAAGGCTAACGTTTCTCCGGCATGAAACATAACGTGAACTTTGTTCCCATGGAAGTAGGGGACGTGCGTGCAGGGAATTGAAACCTCGCCCAGCAACTCTCACTAACATCTCTGCTTCGACATCCCCGTCCAACCATCCTCATTGAGAGACGCGACAGTGCTGACCATGCTGCTGGCCTTCTGGTGTCTCTTCCAGTTAGAAGCGCGTTGACAGCAGACAGAACCGCAACGTTGCGAATGAAATGTGAGCATAAATAACCGACTGTCGCACACCCACTGCACATGGGACTCACTCAGTGTACACTGAAATGGCATGTCAAGGGCTGATACTCAAACAAATGTTATGCGGCGGTCTTGTAGATTTCCTTGGAAACACGCCAGCAACAGCACTGTAACCATGCGAACAGTTGCTTCATATGTCAATGTGCATGCAGGACGGTTGCTGATCCTACACGGACTCAATCCGTGTTGCATGCGTACGTACACGAGCACAGGTCCGAGGAGGCACGTTTTGGAGGTTGTGTGGGCTTTGGAACTGACGCCCTAGCAGAGCAGGAGCAAAGTCGGCTAAACACAACCAACTGCCTGACATCCACGAAATCATAGGAGAAGACTAAGCAGCCTGGCCTGCAGCGATCGCCCAGCTTCCCGTTCTCTCAGACAAAGCTTCCACCCTGCCTCCTTTGGAGTGATTCGGAGTGATTATTGGGCTTGAGCCTAGGGGAGTTGTTCAAAGTTTACCTGTCCAGGATTCAGCCTGCCGGTCTGCATCACACCGCACGGACTTGCATCATCCCACATTGCCACCAAGCATCCGGATTCTGCAAAACTTCTCCTTCTGGCCGCATGTGGTCAGAGTGTTGAGCATCGCGTAAGCGGAGTTTCCCGCCCTCGCTATGGGAGGCCACTGCTTCAATGTGCCTGAGCAAGGATTTCGCAGTTCCTGTTCCTACGGCATTCGTCGTCAATACAAGCAAAATGCGCAGGTAATGTTGCAGACCCGATCTGAACCCTGCACCTGCTTCCGAACTCGAGGCGGAGCTCGCACGAATCGTTGGTGGTCGTGATGCAACCATCTACGACATCACAGGACCTCGGCATTTCACCAGACTTCAATCCAGCTTGGGCCTGCCCATCCAAGCCTCAGCCACGCCCTGCAATGCTGCAGCTATGCAAAGCACTCGGGCATCAGCCCTGAAGTGACTTTCCAGGCCGGAGCACCTGGGCAAGTGGATCTGAAAATCTGAGAATCCGAACATCTAACAGTGAGGACAGCAACATCGACAGCAAAGCATTCATGAGTTCCTTCTTGTGAAGTACGCAATTCCCACAAGACACAGTCCCTGAATCTGGCATTTGGGGAGGGGAGAAAGCGACTACGCTGATCCCGGCGAACTTGGCGCAACTCTATGCACACAGACAAAACATGCGCCAGCTTGCCTGCCCAGAAAGATGTCAAGGACAGCCACGCAAACACTGAAGGCATTGTTGGCATGTTGTCCTCACACATGGAGTGCGACACACAAAAACCATAGCCATGTAAAACCAATCCATTATTCACCTTTATGTCAACGACCAGCAAGCGTTGAATCTGCGGTCCCACTTCAACTGTGATCACCGCGAAACCTGCCGGCCGGACCAGTCTCTTGAGCCCAAAAAGCAAGGCTGCAAAACAAAGTTTCGCGCGTCCGAGCAACTCTTCCATGCTCCTCATATAAAGAAATCCTTCTCATGCAATTAAGCTTGATGAATAGTTTCAAGTCATCACGGTCTCCTTAACAGCACAACATGATGTCGCACGTTGCCTGCAGCGCTCCTTCCCTTGGAACTTCATACCAGGAAATGTTGGATTCTTTCCTTTTCACTTTCATCTCACAACTTGGTCTTCCCATAAGAACTTCACACCTCAAGAGGTGGATCGAACGAAATTTTTTTGATGCCTTGTTGGCCACAACAGCTGCCAGTTGCGCGAGGATCCCTCGACGACAATGCTGTGAATCTGGCGATACAATTCTTTCTGATTCTGTGCCATCCGTGGTTTTGGTCGAAGTGCAATCGAGTTTTGGCTTGCAGACTTTCCCCCGGCAACTCGAGGGCAAAATTCGGGCCGCAGCTTTTGCTGCTGACTGCTACAAGTACTTCTATTGCAACCACGGTCTCATCTTGTAGTCGCTCTCTCGCTCTCTCTCTCTCCCTCTCTTTCTCTCTGCCACCAGTGAGACCACTCGTCAGCAGCCCTTTCAGTGGGACGAACGTGTGGGAAAACATAAAAGTCGGAGGATGCGTATAGTACGGTAAGTAGGTAGGTAGGTAGGTAGGTAGGTAGCGTTCGACCTGCAGCAGTAGCTGCGGCCTCCTCCACTCTTCCCCGCCCAGCATCTCAGGGGGCCTCCGTAAACGTCATCGGCTCCCTCCGCGGGAGGTTCCAGAGGGGGTTTGAACTAGAGTCTAGTCTTACAGTGGAGCCGCCAGGCGTAGAGGATGCGGGCGTGCACCAGCCGGAATGAACTGTGCATGATGCTACGGCAGACAGGCCCTGACTGGCCTCGAAAGAGAGGGAAAACTGAAACCCTCCGGAAGTGGCCCAAGTCAGGGTTTTTGACCCGGAAAAGGGGGTGTGGGCCAGAAGAGGGGGGGGCGACGAAAGTGGGAGAAGGGAGAAGGAGAAGGGGAAAAGCGAGAGATGCGCGCGGGCGAAGAAAAGAGAAACAAAAAAAAAAAAAGGCGGGAGCGGCCGGAGGCCAATAAAAAAAAAGGCGTGCAGCACAGAGGCGGGGGACACTCTGTTTACACCGGGAGCGGCACAAGAAAGTCTTGTTGCCGAAGAAAGCCACGGGTAAAGATGAGGCATTCTTGTTGCCAGTCTGAGTCCGCTTGTTGTGCGGCTCTGGCACAGGCCTGACTGGAGAGGGGTAGGTGTTCGGGCAGGAAGTTAGACCACAGCTCTGCTTCTCCCCAGGAGGGATCAAGAGACTTCGTAAAAAGGAGATATAAAAGAACCCTCATGATTGGTACCTTATCTTAGGAAAGGCGCCTAATCAGCGGCATCCCACTGAGCTAATCCAGTTCAGTATTAGACTGAAGTACCTTATCATGTCTATACAACATAATACATCATAAACTACACCCTAAACTCTGAAGTTACTATCCCCCCGGAGCCCTGGTTTCAATACTCAGGCACGTTATAAACAACCAGGCCCCGTTCTTTAGGGGTCACGGGGAACTTACCCAAAAGCGGGCACTTATCACCCTGAGACCTAAAGAGCCCTGTACATTCTCCAACCAATAAGGACCATAACTAACCAGCGCTTTTGGGGTTCCCTTGGCTTTTTGGCTCCTGATTAAGTAGGGATTATCATCATCCCTGGCTCCTTAGCTCCTCCAATATCAATGGTTAGATAATTACTTCATACGGTATGCATAGAAGTTTCAGAAGGCAAGGGTTTCAACAAAGGTGCATGAACCTTCAGCGTTCGTTTACATTGGCGGGGGTGGGGATTAGGGTTCTACTGCTGATGAAATGAATCCTGCATTACCTTAAGGACCCTAAACTAAGGGAATTATGGTGTATTCCTTTCATATAGTACGGCGTAAGGAGAAAAAGGTTCAGGGAAACTACATACACGATGGGCAATTCTGTACAGGGCTCTTCGCAACGCTTCGGGTCAGACGATGGCAGGACTAGGGTCGAGTTTCCCGCCACCGCTTTGGAGCTTTCGGAAACAAAAAATCGTTGACGCAGCTCACCCGACGCACAAGGGGAATTCGTGACCATTCGCCACAAGTAAACATGGAGCAAACGATAAGCCAGTGACGTTGGAATAGATGCTGGAAAGGTCGTGGTCCCCCGGTTCGCCTCTTGTCGGCTTCCCAAGACAGCATTGTGGCATAACAGCCGCCATGGATGTAAATGTCAATCGGCATGAAAGTTCGGCGCGCACCTGGCACAACCGCAACTAACATGTCGGCGGCTGTCGCCTGGCCTCTGCACACAGTCGCATGCGCATCGATTTGCATGTGCTCGCCAATCAGGGACCGGTGATGCTGGGAAAGGAGGGCGCTGTAGGCCCGCTTGGATCGGCTGGAAGCCCCCCTTCCGTTTTCCCTTTGGCTCAAGGGTGGGCCCGCAGCCGGCGTCTCGGCTCAAGAATTCCTAAAGGGAAGCTCTGCTGTGACGTAGTAGGGTGGGAGACCGTAACTACGAGACTTTGCAACTAGGAAGCCCCCTCTCTGTACAGGCGTAGGGAGGCCCGTCAGACTTCTGTAGCGCGTGCAAACTGCACCTTTGTTCCCAAATCAGAAGGATTGATATGGCCGGAAATGGGCATGTACGACAACACCTTGTTCTGAACCTTTTCTTGTACCCAGAAAAGTCTGGCGTCAAGTGACGCGTCTTCGAACTAGGGCCGCTCCTGTGTGCAAGTTGGCGGGCGGCTTGGTCTTCCAATCTAATCGCTATTCGCGGTCCGCGGTTTCTCACCCAAAATGAAGGTCAAGCATGGCTCAGGTAAAGGCCGTCGCAAGCAGCCGTCACGGAGGCGTAATGTTCCGCCTAACTTTCTGTCCGTGGCACGAGCTGAGGACAGTTGTCACAGATCGTGGGAAACGGTAGTGCAAGCTGGGACCGATCATATTCGCAGCCACCCAAAACAGCACGTCTCCCAACATGTGTGGCAATGGGCACCTGCAGTCCTGACAGTCTGATGGGATGTGCCAGAAGTCTCTCTGTGCATCATATTGGAAGGCACCATATCCCATATAGCTGCTGTGGAACATGCATGCGAGGATGAATACCAAACCGCAGCCACGAGAAGGCCATGTTCCACAAACAAAGGCAAAAACAACGATCCAGAAGCGAACAACAAGGCATGGCCGCGGTGATGAACGTGAAACTCCAGGCGAGTCCAGCAAGTGCGGCTTCCGACAAAAAAATGTGAGCTCAGACTTGCCGATTCCAGCAAACATGCCAAAAACTGGCAAAAAAGGACGGACTTAGGACGGGCGCTTTGCAAGTCCAGTAATCTAACTGTCCTTGACGTTGGAGCAAGTGTGGACGCCATTCTTTCTCGATCGCTTGTCCAGCTTTGCACTTAGTGCTGCACTTGCTGAAGATCCAAACTGATACTTGGACCATAAAGCAAGCATGAAGAACTTGGTCAAGTGCTCCTCGCTTGAAACACTATCACTAGTGGAAAACATATCAAACAAAATCAGTCCAACATCTATGCTGAAATGCAGCATATCAAAAAGTTCCGTCCAAACATAAAGTTATGAAATGACAATAAACTCACTTGAACTGTTAGAGTAGGCATTGGACTTGATAAAGAGTAATCCTTTCCAAACGAAAAAAAACGTGGTCACCACGCAACCACGATATTGGGCAGCTAGAAGAAGTTTCCAAATGTTAGAATCAAATAAATCCAACATCCATAAATAAAACTAGCAGCATGTAAAACGTTCCAAACATAAAGAAAAAATTTGAAAATAATCTTACGCAGACGCTGTTTTCCGCCGACCCTCGCTTCGCTCGTGCCGGTCGGAACAGGCCAAGGGACAGAGTCGCTGCGCACTGCTGTTTGAGTGAGTACAGAAGTCCTGAGCTGAGAAGTGTTAGGACAGTTGCATGTCATTCCTCCTTTGTTGAGCAAAGTTGAGATGGAATTTGCTGCGCGAGACTCCGCAAGAGACCTTGCTGAACACTTCGGTGTTTGGCTCAAGCGTGGAGGAAAAGAGACTTTGCTCTGCGTTTTTCACATGGTAGCGGAGCGCTGAGTGCCTGGCAAAGCCATGGCAGACGTTCCTGTGCCGGAGACCACTGCAGAAGAGGAGTTCGACTTTTTGGTCCAGGAGCGAATCCGTTTGCTCCTGTGCAAGGTCCGGCTCCTGCTCCAACGCAAGCAGCACAGCCTTCTGTTCCAGCGGCGGGTTCGCCGACTGGTGCTTCTGTTTCTGTGCAAAGTCCAAAGCGTCGGCTCCACCTGTTCAGAGTCCAAAGGCTGCTGGTCCGAGCAGCAGCAGTTCTGGAGCTGCAGGTTTTACAGCAGAAGCGATGCCTCAGTTCATGATGGAAATGCTTCGTCAGCAGAGAGATGACGGCAATGAACCAGCAGCTCGTTGCGACGATGCTCCGGAGAATGGATCTGGAGGAAGAGAGAAGGAACAAAGCTGAAGAGAAGGTTCACGAGGCAGCTGAAGCGGCCAAGAAGGCAGCAGAGGCAGCTAAGACTCGGGACCCCTTCCAGCCGAGCACTGCTCCCACTAGCAGTTCTTCCGCGAGTCCGGCAGTTCCTTCTACCTCTGGGTACTCTGGTGCTGGAGGTTCGAACCGTGCAGAAAAGTATCTGCCGAATCTTCCGGTTATGGACCATCAAGGCATGGGGAAAGGGCGCATGAAGGAGGTAGAGACTTGGCACTCCTTTATGGAGACGCTGAGTTCCTGGCTTGCCCTGCAGGAAGAAGCGTTTGTTCGGGAACTGCAGCTCTGTATCCCCGTGA